ACAAACTAATAGCGAATCACATAGACGCTGTTAACTAAATGCTAACGAGTGAAAATTGAACTAATTGCAAGACAGGCAAATCCAGCTCATAAAGTTATACAAGCATAGCTAGTAGTTACCGAATGTCATGTTCGGTGAGTGTGGACATTTACAAGCGAAAGTGAACAAGAGAAATTGTTCAAATGAACACATTTGTGATGCATGCTTTTCTGAAGGAATGTGTACACGATGCAGATTGGATGATGGGAAAAAAACACTAGTAGGAAGCACAGGGAAAAAATGGCAGCTCTACAGATAACTCATCCAGAGCTCTTTGACTTCTGTCAGAAAGCAATTATAAGATACACTACATGACCAAAAGTATGTGGACACCTGCTCGTCGTACATCTCATTTCAAAATCATGGGCATTAATATCGAGTTGGTCCCCCTTTGCTGATATAACAGCCTCCACTCTTCTGGGAAGATGTTGTAACATTGCTGCGGGGACTTCCATTCAGCCACGAGCATTAGTGAGGTCAGGCACTGATTCCACACATTTCTGTATGGACCTCGCTTTGTACATGGGGGCATTATCATGCTGAAACAGAAAAGGGCCTTCCCCAAACTGTTGCCATAAAGTTGGAAGCACAGAATCGTCTAGAATGTCATTGTATGCTTTAGCTTTAAGATTTCCCTTCACTGGAACTAAGGGGCCTAGGCCGAACCATGAAAAACAGCCCGGACCATTATTCCTCCTCCACCAAACTTTAGAGTTGGCACTATGCATTCGGGCAGGTGGCGTTCTCCTGGCATCCGCCAAACCCAGATTCGTCCATCGGACTGCCAGATGGTGAAGCATGATTCATCACTCCAGAGAACTCGTTTCCACTGTTCCAGAGTCCAATGGCGGCTAGCTTTACACCTCTCCAGCCGACGCTTGGCATAGGCTTGTGTGCGGCTGCTCGGCCATGGAAACCCGTTTCTTGAAGCTCCCGAGGAACAGTTATTGTGCTGACATTGCTTCCAGAGGCAGTTTGGAACTCTGTAGTGAGTGTTGCAACCGAGACGAGACTATTTTTACGTGCTATGTGCTTCAGTCCATGGCGGACCCGTATTGTGGGCTTGTGGGGCCTACTACTTCGCGGCTGAGCCGTTGTTGCTCCTAGACCTTTTCATTTCACAATAACAGCACTTACAGTTGCCGGGGCAGCTCTAGCAGGGCAGACATTTGACGACTGACTTGTTGGAAAGGTGGCATCCTGTGACGGTGCCACGTTGAAAGTCACTGAGCTCTTCAGTAAGGCCATTCTACTGCCAATGTTTGTCTATGGAGATTGCATGGGTGTGTGCTCAATTGTATACACCTGTAAGCAACGGGTGTGGCTGAAATAGTATAATCCACTAATTTGAAGGGGTGTCCACATACTTTTGTGTATATACAGTGCATTTGGAAAGTATTCAACCCCCTTGACTTTTTCCAAATGTTCTTACGTTACAGCCTTATTCTAAAATTGATTAAATAGTTTTTTCCCCTCATCAATCTTCACACAATACCCCATAATGACAGAGCAAAAACTGTTTTTTTGAGCTTTACACCACTCCAGGATGCACCTGAGCTCAATTTCAAGTCTCCTAGCAAAGGGTCTGAATACTTATGTAAATAAGATTTTTATTTGTTTATTTTTAATACATTTGCAAAAATTCTAAAAACCTGTTTTTCACATTGTCTTTATGGGGTATTGTGTATAGATTGATGAGGGAAAAGATCTATGTTATCCATTTTAGAATAAGGCTGTAACGTAACTAATAGGCTAACAGGTAACATTCATTTTGTTAACTTCCTTGTTTGCTCTTCCCTGTGTGCTCCCTTCACCCTAGAGCCACATTAGATGTGACTAATCATTCACCAGTGTTAGAGCTTTGAGATAAAATCAGTCCCAGGTTTCTAATATTTAATGTTAGCCTAGCAGTTAGCACCTTGTCTCCTAGCATTTATAATGATATCCTTATTTTGTTATAGGCTAACCCTAGGCTTAATTAAAAACAGTTTTATTGCACTCACTTGATGTCATTCTGACAACTGTGCCAAGCCACACACTGTTAGCCCCTGGATGACATGGTCATAACATGGTTGTGTTAAACAGTCCTTGTGAGTATATGCCATCCTCACTAACAAACCCCAGCACGATATCACACATTGCTGGCAGGTACACACAAGTGGTGTGTCCCTGACCGCTTGCCAATGGAGAATGGTTATGATGGTCAGCAAACCATGGATCATCATCATAATTGAATCACATTCATTTGTACCCTGAACTAGCATAGCATCCACCTTCTGCAGATTTTTTTTTTCTCCAGTTAAATATGGTTATGTTAGTGTACTAGTACTTTCTATTCGACAATGGACATTGTACTACACTATAGGCCAGGGATGGGCAACTTTGATGTGGGTGGGGGCCACAAAAAATCTGAACTCATCATGATTGGCTGCAGTGGCTCTAGGGTCCCATCCATACCCACACTTGCAGTCAGGCTCCCTAAGGGACATTTTGTTGGGTATGGATAATTTGATCAAAACATTTTAGCGGTCCACCTCTTGACAGCGGAGAGAAAACATTGATGTTTTAGAGTTAATTTCCTGCAATTTTAAACATTTTGACATGGGGCGTAGAGAGAATGTTGCCGGTTTAAAGCAGGTTTGCTACTATTTTACACATTTTGCCATGGGGTGGAGAGAATATATTTCTATTTTATAACTAAGTTCAGGCAATTCTACTCATTTTGCCATGGGGCAGAGAGAAATGTGCAGTTTTCCAGCTAATTTCCTGTAATTCTACACATTTTGCCATGGAGAGACATTTTTGTATTTCTCTATCTCAGGAAAAATATTGCCCTGGAAAAATACACAATACACTGTACTGTGTATCAGTGAGCAGAATAGAAGAATTTGCACAACAAAGAATGGCTGTAATTTCATGCATGCCCCCCAATTATTTACCCCAAACTTGAGGAGACGAAAGCATAATTTTTTTACTTTGTTTTTGGACACAATAGTGACTTTGTTCTTTCCTGGATGAATTCCCACACCCTTGTACAGTTGTCAGAGTTACATTTTTTGGCAGAGTTGTGTGGAAAGTTGACATGAATGTAGATCTGTCTCTGTGCTTTTGAAAAAGTAATATGTAATCCCTATCATTCTGAGAATACTGTGAAACAATGTTAGATAAAGCACTTACTTTTTAAAGACACATCTTTATGACGACTATGTGCTGAATATGTATTTTACTGTGGCATTGTTTATTTCCATCACATCCACAGCAGAGATGACCTTTTTCAAAATGGTGGTTGGCTGCCCATTTGAGTTGTAGTGCTGTAACATATTAATAGAGATGGAGCAGAGGTGGCCTAAGGGCTCTTCTCTATCTCTGCTTCTGTCTGTCTGTGGCGTGTGTGCGAGTCAGCCAGCTAGTAGAAGCTATTTAACTGTCCCCTTTAGATGCTCTGATGCGCTGCTTCTAACCAGCACAGCCGGACCTCACTGGATTTGGGACATCTGGCATTAGCAATGATCGTTCTTGATTATTGTTACTATCTGAATGAATTAATGTAATCATGATATTGGATTATATATTTTTTAACAGATGATCTATTATTTTATTTTTTACACACAACCATTTTTTTTCTATCAGGCATCTCTGGCAGTTGAAACATACGTTTTGGTTGCCAATTTCTGTATTGGAATGCAATATTGCTACGTATTCTGTGCTTTTACAAAGATTAACTGATCACACTAGAAGGGTGACCAAAGTTGTGTTCCAATCCCTTATTATGGTGAACTGAAAATCTGTGCCTACATCCAAGACGAGCAAAAATGGCAGACTGGTGCAGTCAGTGTTGTAATCCTTGGCCAGTGTTCACTTCACAGTCACACTACCACTGTGCCTCTGTTTCCCCTGCCACATTCTTACTACGGCACAGCCTGTAGTGTACACATAACCATGTGACCGTAGGAAGGCCCCCATGTCCTTGTGCCTATTTTTATGGGGAACTGTTATCAGAGATTGTGAAACGAGTTTCGAGGAAGAAAACCCTCACAGACTTGTAAGTAAACATTCTCCTTTAATGTTTAAACCAGAACGGCCCTTTTTGAAGGACATATTTAGAACTTGAATGAACTACTGTTTTGAGTCTAATCTCTATTACCAGTGAGTGATTAGTTGAAAGGAAATGTAAAGACCTGGCTAAGCCTCAGTTTCTACTCTCTGTGTTCAATCTGCCATTGAAAGTCTGCAACTGCACCTCTATTTGGCTGTGAGCAGCAGGTCTACTCAGAGTGCTTGGGACTGAGGGAGTAAAGCCGATCAGGCTACCTGATTATAACGGGCGGTGTGTGTACAGCAGTTAGTCTCTCTCCACCATGTCTGGCTCTGATTTGAGATGCAGCAGCCAACAGATGGATGGACGGGGTTTTCCCCAATGTGCAATCTCATTCATTTTCATAAGCCAGCAGCATGTGCAGTGCTTTGCAGTGTGTTCCTAATGGGTCAGATAATGGAGCAGATATTTAGTGCTTCCAGGCTGAAGCACACAGTGTAAAAAAATAAAGATGGAACTGGGGTTGGCATAATATGATTTAAGGGATGATTATCATGTGAGAAGAAAGGAGAAAAGGTTTCAACACACTGTTGTTTAGGCCTCTGCTGGTGGGTTTCTATGTACGGTACAGTAGCAGTGTTTTGACTGCTGTTGTGGGTCTTTGTCAGGGGGTGGGGGGAATCAAATCTCCCTTGTCTGATATGACTGTGTTAGTCAAAGATTGGGAGGTTTCCTCTGATACTGTTACCTCTTTTCACCTGGGTTTCTCGGTGGAGACTGACTGGGAAGATTGTTACATCATTGTCTGACCCAGATGGCTTATTCGTAGCAGCATTTGTCCCATCCAGACTTCTAGCAATCTGTCAGCGAGCTAGTACTCTACCATTGATTGTCTCTCACAAGAACTTGCTCACTGACTCGCGCCCGCTCTCTCTCCTGTAGGATCTAACTACGTCATGTCTAACGGGGGCGGGGTGGTGAGTAGCACCACCCACCTGCTGGACTTCCTGGAGGAGCCCATCCCAGGGGTTGGCACCTATGATGACTTCCACACCATCGACTGGGTCCGGGAGAAGTGCAAAGACCGGGAACGCCACCGCAAGGTGAGGACAACATTTATAAACTAGGCTACTTTAAGAAAATAAAGTCTGTACACCCTGTGGCTCTGATGCAATGCATTTTATAGATAGATAACATTTTAGTCATTTAGCATATTTACAATCAGTGTAATCAACTAAGGTAGGTAAAACGACCACAAGGGTGTCTCCCAGGGCTCTGTGCCGGGCCCCTTAAATTGTGCCCTAGCCTAGACAGAAGTGTCCCCTGCATTCTCTGTGGTGGCTCTGTAGCAGCATGTTGTTGTGGGGGGTGTTCTAAAAGAGATGGTGCCCTAGACAATAGTGTTACCTCCTATGGTCTCTGTGGTGGCTCTGTGTGCATGGCTTATAAACACCATGAGGAAACCATTTCGTCTTTTGCGATACAAATCTGAGTGGTTCCTAGAAGTTTCATATCCTCACACATTTGAATGTCGTCTGGGTGTTATTTATTTTTTTACACCTGCCAAACGGGAACAGTAATGGTTGATGTCAATATGACACACTGCAGTAGCAGCACAAGTTCATGGGTAGTTAAAATAATATTAATATTATCAATAATTTGATAATAGTTACTCTGAAAATGGGGAGAACTGTGTGTGTGTGTGTGTGTGTGTGTGTGTGTGTGTGTGTTTCTAACCCTGCTCTCTGTGTGTGTGTGTGTGTGTGTAACCCTGCTCTCTGTGTGTGTGTGTGTGTGTGTGTGTGTGTGTGTGTGTGTACAGATCAATGCTAAGAAGAAGGAGTCAGCATGGGAGTTCACCAAGAGCCTGTATGATGCCTGGTCTGGGTGGCTGGTGGTGACGCTGACAGGACTGGCCTCAGGTAACACACACACACAGTCACCTGAGCTCACCTATACTAATAGTCACAGGGTATTTACAGTAAATGTAGGGTAATCATCGACAACATGTTTGTTTTTCATCTTGCTTTTGATGAAAATCAGTGTGGCTTAAACTATATTTTCCTTCTTCTCTTCCCTGTCCTCTTCATCCTCTCTTCCTCCCCTTCCTCTTTGTCCAATCAGGTGCTCTGGCTGGTCTGATCGACATCGCTGCTGATTGGCTGAACGACATCAAGGAGGGGGTGTGTCTGAATGCCATGTGGTTCAACCACGAGCAGTGCTGCTGGGGTTCCAACGAGACCACGTTCGCTGAGAGGGACAAGTGTCCTCAGTGGAAGAGCTGGGCGGGACTCATCCTGGGCCAGGAAGAGGTGAGAGGGATTTCATTGACATAGGTGTTTAAAGAAAATATATATTATTATTAACCCATCCCTCTTCGGAGGACAAATATATATTTTACAGCTTTTCTGCTAAATATACATACATTTTGCATACACATTTTGCATACACATTTTGCATACATGGTACTTTTATATAAAGCTATCACATAACAATAATACATTACCAAACATAAGCTCTTTAATCCCACCCCTCAGACACTCTCAGCCCATCCCACCTATCGCCATAGACCACCCTCGTTTGGTTTCCATCTGCCATATATTTTTCAAATGTGCTGTGATGTTTTACAAACATTTTGAACATTTCTAATCGTATAGTATCCACAGATTGTGAGCTAAAGATGAAAACCTTTCCTATGAGTGTTATTATGTTATTTATTGACTGACTATGACTTTCCTGGTCCTCTGTAGCTCAATTGGTAGAGCATGGCGCTTGTAACGCCAGGGTAGTGGGTTCGATCCCCGGGACCACCCATACGTAAAAATGTATGCACACATGACTGTAAGTCGCTTTGGATAAAAGCGTCTGCTAAATGGCATATTATATTATATTTCCAAATCGCCCAACACTGCTATTTGTAAGGTTTGACATAGGTGTTACAGGTGTCAGATAGCTGTTCTAAGCACTTTATGTGCTATAATATAGCACCTTATCAGTGTTATAAGCTAGCGGTTTCCAGTGTAGAGAGGGACAAGTCAGGCAGAGGTGAGAGAGATTCAAGTGTCTTCAACACTGTTTAGACTGACTCCATGGTGTTATAGATGATCTAAGGAGTTTTGGTAGGTCTTCTGAAGCAGACACATTTCAGAATCTAATCTCAGAACAAATGTCATTATACCCTGTGTCAGTGTATTGACAGTTAATAATATGCTGCTCCTCTCTCTCCTCCTCCTCTCCCTCCCAGGGCCCTGGTTCCTACATTATGAACTACTTTATGTACATCTACTGGGCTTTGTCTTTCGCCTTCCTGGCTGTGTTACTGGTCAAGGTGTTCGCCCCCTACGCCTGTGGCTCCGGTATACCTGAGGTAAAATTGCACACACACACACACACAAACACACACACACACACACACTATATACAGTGAGGGAAAAAAGTATTTGATCCCCTGCTGATTTTGTATGTTTGCACACTGACAAAGACATGATCAGTCTATCATTTTAATGGTAGGTTTATTTGAACAGTGAGAGACAGAATAACAACAACAAAATCCAGAAAAACGCATGTCAAAATTTTTTATTAATTGATTTGCATTTTAATGAGGGAAATAAGTATTTGACCCCTCTGCAAAACATGACTTAGTACTTGGTGGCAAAACCCTTGTTGGCAATCACAGAGGTCAGACGTTTCTTGTAGTTGGCCACCAGGTTTGCACACATCTCAGGAGGGATTTTGTCCCACACCTCTTTGCAGATCTTCTCCTAGTCATTAAGGTTTCGAGGCTGACGTTTGGCAACTCGAACCTTCAGCTCCCTCCACAGATTTTCTATGGGATTAAGGTCTGTAGACTGGCTAGGCCACTCCAGGACCTTAATGTGCTTCTTCTTGAGCCACTCGTTTGTTGCCTTGGCCGTGTGTTTTGGGTCATTGTCATGCTGGAATACCCATCCACGACCCATTTTCAATGTCCTGGCTGAGGGAAGGAGGTTCTCACCCAAGATTCGACGGTACATGGCCCCGTCCATCGTCCCTTTGATGCGGTGAAGTTGTCCTGTCCCCTTAGCAGAAAAACACCCCCAAAGCATAATGTTTCCACCTCCATGTTTGACGGTGGGGATGGTGTTCTTGGGGTCATAGGCAGCATTCCTCCTCCTCCAAACACGGCGAGTTGAGTTGATGCCAAAGAGCTCGATTTTGGTCTCATCTGACCACAACACTTTCACCCAGTTCTCCTCTGAATCATTCAGATGTTCATTGGCAAACTTCAGACGGGCCTGTATATGTGCTTTCTTGAGCAGGGGGACCTTGCGGGCGCTGCAGGATTTCAGTCCTTCACGGCGTAGTGTGTACCAATTGTTGTTTTGGTGAGTATGGTCCCAGCTGCCTTGAGATCATTGACAAGATCCTCCCGTGTAGTTCTGGGCGGATTCCTCACCGTTCTCATGATCATTGCAACTCCACGAGGTGAGATCTTGCATGGAGCCCCAGGCCGAGGGAGATTGACAGTTCTTTTGTGTTTCTTCCATTTGCGAATAATGGCACCAACTTTTGTCACCTTCTCACCAAGCTGCTTGGCGATAGTCTTGTAGCCCATTCCAGCCTTGTGTAGGTCTACAATTCTGTCCCTGACATCCTTGGAGAGCTCTTTGGTCTTGGCCATGGTGGAGAGTTTGGAATCTGATTGATTGCTTCTGTGGACAAGTGTCTTTTATACAGGTAACAAGCTGAGATTAGGAGCACTCCCTTTAAGAGTGTGCTCCTAATCTCAGCTCGTTACCTGTATAAAAGACACCTGGGAGCCAGAAATCTTTCTGATTGATAGGGGGTCTAATACTTATTTCCCTCATTAAAATGCAAATCAATTTATAAAATGTTTGACATGCGTTTTTCTGGATTTTTTGTTTGTTATTCTGTCTCTCACTGTTCAAACTTACCATTAAAATTATAGACTGCTCATTTCTTTGTCAGTGGGCAAACGTACAAAATCAGCAGGGGATCAAATACTTTTTCCCCTCACTGTATATACAGAATATATTGTAATTCAGGAAGAGCGAGAGAGAAAAATGGGGAGCAGTTGGAAATGTGTTTTTCTTCTTCAAAATTCTTAGTCTGAAGCAGTTTGGGATATGTTTGGACATTTACCTTATTTATTTTGTTGAATTTAAAAGGATAATTTCTTCAACTTACAAATGTACATGATTTTCATGTATGCACATATTTCCCTTACTTAGACATTTAATAGAAAGGAAACTCCAGCACACTGGTGATCTTAATGCTTCCTTAATGTTTTCAATAGACTCTACTTAAATACTTAACACCTCCTCTCCCTTCTCTCTCCCAGAGAACAAAGGATATTTACATTGGCTATGTCGCAAGTATAAATAATAATAAATATAATATGCCATTTAGCAGACGCTTTTATCCAAAGCGACTTACAGTCATGCGTGCATTCATTTTTTTTGTGTATGGGTGGTCCCGGGGATCGAACCCACTACCTTGGCGTTACAAGCGCCGTGCTCTACCAGCTGAGCTACAAGGACCAAGTATCTCTCCTTCCTCCCAACGTGTGCACTTGTTCACTTCCCTTCACTGATTTGTAAGGAAATTACTGGTAGAAGAAATATGGTGGAAACTCCCACTAGCCCCTGCCTCCACCAATCCAATGATTTGTGGGAAGTAGTGATATAATAATATAATATAATATGCCATTTAGCAGACGCTTTTATCCAAAGCGACTTACAGTCATGTGTGCATACATAGTGAAAGAGTGCACACTTCAGGAGAAGGAGATATTAATGGGACACACGCATATCTTATTTATTGTCTCCTCCCTCCTCTTTGTCCCCCAGATTAAGACTATAAATAAATCATTTATCCAGTATAATTGCCTTATTTCCCCTCTCCTCCCCCATCTCTCTGTCTCCCCAGATAAAGACCATTCTGAGTGGGTTCATCATCCGGGGTTACCTGGGGAAGTGGACCCTGCTGATCAAGACGGTGACCCTGGTGCTGGCTGTAGCGTCTGGGCTGAGCCTGGGGAAGGAGGGACCCCTGGTCCATGTGGCCTGCTGCTGTGGAAACATTTTCTCATACCTCTTCCCCAAGTACAGCAAGAACGAGGCCAAGAAGAGAGAGGTGCGTGCAATATGTGATCTACTGTTAGGCGTGGTAAAATACAATACCATACAACTTTATTGTCCAAGTACAGCAAGAACGAGGCTAAGAATAGCGAGGATATGGTTTGTGTTTGTATCCATTGTATTACATGATAGTGTTGAGTTTTGTTTTTAGACATTTTCTGTGTCACCACGTAGTAGGATTTAAGACTGTGTTTTGGGTAAATTCCTGTCAGTGTTTCAGCTGACTCGGGCCTGTGTTTTGGTACTAATCTTTTGTTTTGTTTTCTCTCTGCAGGTCCTATCTGCAGCGTCAGCGGCTGGGGTGTCTGTCGCTTTCGGTGCTCCCATAGGAGGAGTACTCTTCAGCTTGGAGGAGGTACAATGTATACTGTGTGTGTGTGTGTGCATGTGCATGTGCCTGTGACTGACTGTGGGTCTGTATGAGACATTGAATCACACGCTATAATTACCTTGCTCCGCTATTCACCTGTCTGCATCTCTCTCTCTTCCCCCTCCCCCCAGGTGAGTTACTACTTCCCTCTGAAGACCCTGTGGCGCTCCTTCTTCGCTGCGTTGGTGGCAGCCTTTGTCCTCCGCTCCATTAACCCGTTTGGCAACAGCCGTCTGGTCCTGTTCTATGTGGAGTACCACACCCCCTGGTACCTGTTTGAGCTTATCCCCTTCATCCTGCTGGGGGTGTTTGGGGGTCTCTGGGGGGCCTTCTTCATCAAAGCCAACATCGCCTGGTGCCGAAGGAGGAAGTCTACCCGCTTCGGGAAGTACCCCATCCTGGAGGTGATCTTCGTGGCGGCCATTACCGCCGTCGTGGCATTCCCCAACCCGTACACGCGACAGAACACCAGCGAGCTGATTAAAGAGTTGTTTACCGACTGCGGACCCTTGGAGTCGTCCCAGCTGTGCCAGTACAGGAGTCAGATGAACGGGAGTAAGGCGTTTGTGGATGCATCTCCCAACAAGCCGGCGGGGCCCGGGGTGTACGCAGCCATATGGCAGCTGTGCCTGGCGCTTATCTTTAAGATCATTATGACCATATTCACCTTCGGACTTAAGGTGAGGCATGTCTAGTTAATGTACCCCGGCAGTTAATGTGGTTGTATTGGTAAATGTCTATCAGATTGTGGTCTAATACAAATCTTAGATTGTAGTCTACACTTTAAATAATGCTGATCAGGTTTGGGTTGAAAAGCATTGAGTAAAATCAGAATTTGAATTTCAGTTCAGGATCTTTTTTTCAACAGGATAAGTTCAGAAATAGCTGGAGTGGGTCTTTTAAGTTGTGGTTCCTGTCTCCAGGTTCCGGCTGGCCTGTTCATCCCCAGTATGGCCATCGGGGCGATCGCCGGGCGTATCGTGGGCATCGCCGTGGAGCAGCTGGCATACTACCACCACGACTGGTTAGTGTTCAGGGAGTGGTGCGAGGTAGGCACCGACTGCATCACCCCGGGACTCTATGCCATGGTGGGGGCCGCAGCATGTCTGGGTGAGTTAAAAATCGAAGTTTATTGGTCACATACAAAGATCTGCTGATTTTATTGCAGGTGCAGCGAAATGCTTATGTTTCTAGCTCCAACAGTGCAGTAATATCTAGCAATACAATACAAATACACACATGATCCAAAAAGTAAAAAACAAGAAATGAAGAAATATCAGAACGAGCAATATATCTAGGGCTGTGATGATCATGGAATTTTGGATGACGGTAATTGGCCAGCCAAATGACTGCGGTCTCCGTAATAACTGTTCAAATAGCATTTCATGTTTTTGTGTTGTTTATAGGGCCCTATGAAATCCTTTTTTATTTTTTTCTCCCAAATTCAGTTTTGTTATCTTGGTTTTATCTTTCAAGGTTTGTAATTTTTCAATAATTTTTTTATTCACACTCCACATTTGCATAGGGAATGAGGTGTCACATTTTCTGGCCTATCCAGACAAAGAATTGATTTACTCTTCCTCTGAGCGAGTGAGCCCAGCCTGTGAGACGTCATATGAACGAACGGTGACAGTCTATCGGATCCAGCCTGTGTAGTTTAATCTCAGCCGGATTTAGAGCTCTCAACATGACGAAATACGAAATTATTAATATAATTGAAACAATTCCACTTTCTCTTGGTCACAGACGGACAGAATCACTTCCTCCTAAAGCTGACGAGTATGCACACATTTGAATGGTGTCTCTGCGCCACTCAGTGGACGTTTAGGAGAAAATTATCTGTCGGCAGTTTTATGAAATAGTGCCAATATTGTACTGTCACTAAGTATGATCATATTTATTTTACAGTTATAAGAAATGTGACATCTTATAGCAAGTCGTTTATAATTGGATTGTTATTATATTTAGAAAGCATTTCAATCATTTCAAGCTCTATTTCCCCACTTTTGTTGAATAGTGAAAAAATCATATGATTTTTAACAATATTTGTACTATGTATTTGAGCTTGTGTCCTCAAAAGGGAGTACACCTCAGCAATTTATTATTTACTGTTTTTACCAGAAAGGAGAGTTCAAGACCTTTCTAAAACTATGCAACATTACCAGTTTATGGCTATCTCATGAAAAATTATTACGTTTGGGAATGTTTATTTAGGTAGAAATCAAAATGTTACCCTATCATTCAACTGGTCAGGAGAACCCTTTTGAGGTCTGGGAATTTTTTTTTGGGAGGGTGTAGTTCCACTTTAATTAAACTGCATAGCAAGAGACTGTTGAGGCTAGCGGTGTTTCTGTCAGGTTTCTGCACTGCACATGTGATTGCAGAGTTTGGAAAATAAATGTGCACGCGGTTCGTACAAATCATCATGCCAGGTAGGCCTACTTTGCAGTCAACATTTAATTGGAAATGTTTTTCTGAAAAAAGACTTTAGAAATGACTGTTTCAGCGTGCTTCCCCATCGCAGATTTTATAGGGCGTAATAAACTGTATCTTACCTTAGAAGTGTTTACTTCAGGCTGACTACTAGCATCTAACGTTAGTTATTGAGTTGCAATGTCCCAATAAATTGAATGTTCAAACCAACTTAAAGTATCTACAAAATGAGTTTTGCAACAACACAATTCAAAAGGAAGGCTACAGCAAAATGTTTTCCTTTTACTGTTCGAGATTCACTAATTATTATTTTGATTCCCATGATTCGATTCACCGTGATTGAACAGAACCCCAACTGCTACAATGGCTAAGCGAATCATTCAATTTGTGAAAAATAATCATTTAAAATAATCGATTCATATTAATTAAATGAATCAATATTTTTTTTTATATCGTTTTTTAAAAACTATTTTGAGAAATGTGAAGTGGGGCATTCGTTATACAGTAAATTAATTGTATTTTATTTCCATGACGGTCTTCATCCATAAACGTAGGTTATACGGCAATTGTGCCAGCTCTAGCATTATCAGAACGAGCAATGTCAGAGTCTGGAATATAAATATACAGTACCAGTCAAAAGTTTGGACACACCTACTCATTCCAGGGTTTTTCTTTATTTTTACTATTTTCTACATTGTAGAATAATAGTGAAGACATCAAAACGATGAAATAACACATATGGAATCATGTAGTAACCCAAAAAGTGTTAAATGTAAATCTATTTTATATTTGAGATTCTTCAAATAGCCACCTTTTGCCTTGATGACAGCTTTGCACACTCTTGGCATTCTCTCAAACAGCTTCACCTGGAATGCTTTTCCAACCGCCTTGAAGGACTTCCCACATATGCTGAGCACTTGTTGGCTGCTTTTCCTTCACTTAGCGGTCCGACTCATCCTAAACCATCTCAATTAGGTTGAGGTCGGGGTATTGTGGAGGCCAGGTCATCTGATGCAGCACTCCATCACTCTCCTTCTTGGTAAAAACGCCCTTACACAGCCTGGAGGTGTGTTGGGTCATTGTCCTGTATAAAAACAAATGATAGTCCCACTAAGCCCAAACCAGATGGGATGGCGTATCGCTGCAGAATGCTGTGGTAGCCATGCTGGTGAAGTGTGCCTTGAATTGTAAATAAATCACAGACAGTGTCACCAGCAAAGCATTTTTCTACAATGTAGAAATAGTAAAAATTAAGAAAAACCCTTGAATGAGTAGGTGTGTCCAAACTTTTGTATATAACAGTATATGAATAGAAAAGGTGTGTACAGCAGTAGTTCTATAGGATGAGCCATGTTTAGAATACAGTATATACGTATAAAATAGTATGTAAACATGATTAAAGTGACCAGTGTTCAATGCCTCTATATACATGGGGCAGCAGTCTCTAAGGTTCCGGCTAGGGATGGCTGTTCAGCAGTCTGATGGCCTGGAGATAGAAGATGTTTATCAGTCTCTCAGTCCCGGTTTTGATGCACCTGTACTGTCTCCGTCTGCGAGATGGTAGCAGGGTGAACAGGCCATGTTTCGGATGGCTGAGGTCCTTGAAGGACCTCACTGGCTGTGGGTCTTTATGTGTTTTTATGGTCCTGTCTGTTGTTCTTAATCCTACTCAGTATCAGCTTCCCCTTCTTGTGATATATTGTTATATGGACTGTGTTGGTCGATAAAATGTGTTGTGTAAAATGTAATCGATCTTGCTGAATGACTTTGGTCCTCTCCCATGCAACTCTTCCCTTGTCTCCAGGTTGTTGCTGTAAAATATAATGTGTTACATTTACATTTTAGTCATTTAGCAGACGCTCTTATCCAGAGCGACTTACAGTTAGTGAGTGCATACATTATTATTATTATTATTTATTTTTTCATACTGGCCCCCCGTGGGAATCGAACCCACAACCCTGGCGTTGCAAACGCCATGCTCTACCAACTGAGCTACATCCCTGCCGGCCATTCCCTCCCATACCCTGGACGACGCTGGGCCAATTGTGCGTCATGGGTCTCCCGGTCGCGGCCGGCTACAACAGAGCCTGGATTCGAACCAGGATCTCTAGTGGCACAGCTAGCACTGCGATGCAGTGCCTTAGACCACTGCGCCACTCGGGAGACGTGTCCTCACTTCTTAGTCAGCTTACCTGGTAAAATTAAAGGTGAATAAGAAGTGAATCATTGTGTTGCGTTCCAGGTGGTGTAACACGGATGACCGTGTCTCTCGTGGTCATCGTGTTTGAGCTGACGGGCGGCCTGGAGTACATCGTGCCCCTCATGGCCGCCGTCATGACCAGCAAGTGGGTGGGCGACGCCTTCGGGCGCGAGGGCATCTACGAGTCACACATCCGCCTGAACGGGTACCCCTTCCTCGACGCCAAGGAAGAGTTCACACACACCACGCTGGCGCGGGAGGTGATTATATCCACACACACACACACACACACACACACACACACACACAATTTAATCAAAACAAACAAACATCAAAAAAAGGATTCACAAGGAGATACATTCTTGATGTTCTTCCATTCCTGTCTGACTTCAGGTGATGCGGCCGCGGCGTAGTGATCCGCCGTTAGCGGTGCTGACGCAGGACGACCTGACGGTGGAGGAACTACAGGGGATCATCAGCGAGACCAGCTACAACGGCTTCCCTGTCATCGTCTCCAAGGAGTCCCAGAGACTGGTTGGCTTCGCCCTGCGCAGGGACATCACCATTGCTATAGGTGAGGAGAGATGGCAGGGTCTGGAGGGCGGTCAGATTAAACCAGACCCTAAATTCAACTAGTATTTGTTTCTTTTCAAATACTTTAGCTGCACTTAATTGATTGAGCTTGCCTGGTGCCAATGAAACCAATGGAATTGTGCCAAAAGTGTAAACCCTCCCTATCTGGCACTAGAGCTCTGTTACCCAACCCGAGCCCGACGGGCCCCTACATTATGCATCGTGTTAAGCCTGGGTAGGGCCTGTTTTTTCATCAATAACTAGGGTATGGGCAGGGCTCAGTATCACTAAATTGATCACTAACATTTTGAAGCTGAGCCATTTGCTCATGCTCTGCTGTGCAGTAGAGTCATATCTGACTAAGATCATAACATGGTGTCAGAAGTGCTTCAACCTCGTCAAATATAAAACAGGAGAGATTATTTCACAGAAAAGAATAATGTACCTTGAGTTTGTCGGAGTTTAGAGTGACTTAAAGGAGCAGCTAACTGCTATCTCATGTCTCGTCATTGAGCAGAGCAGCCCAAGCGAGCTACCTTAGTTTGTCGGAGTTCTAACAGGGACTTAAGCTAGCAGCTTAAACTGCTATCTCATGTCTCGTCATTGAGCAGAGCAGCCCAAGCGGAGCTATTGCTATGGATACTCACAGAGCACATGCAGAGCGAGCAGCGGGCAGGAAGCCAGTGACCGACTGAGAAGAGCAGCTAATGGATATACTAACAGAGAAAGTTGTTTCAGATTTTGGGTTTCAGGCAGGGTAGGGCCTTACATTTGGCAGAAGCAATCAGGCCTGGGTAGGGTAGGGCCTGAACATCGCGGGCATGGGTAGGGCTCGGGCTTCATGCCCATGCAGGGCTTTATCTGCTACCCTCCGGTTTAGAAACAAACCAAATTAAAATATCTCTTTCCCTATCTCTCTCTCTCTCCTCTCTCTCTCTCTCTTTCTCCACCCACCCACCCACTCCCTCTCACCCCCCTGGTCATCAGAGAACGCACGGCGGAAGCAGGAGGGTATCCTGCTGACTTCGCGGGTCTACTTCACGCAGCACGCCCCCACGCTGCCCGCCGACAGTCCGCGGCCCCTCAAGCTGCGCTCCATCCTGGACATGAGCCCCTTCACCGTCACCGACCACACGCCCATGGAGATCGTGGTGGACATCTTCCGCAAGATGGGCCTCCGCCAGTGTCTGGTGACACACAACGGGTGAGATGAGATGAGGGAAGGGAGAGGGGTAGGGTGGCATGGGAAGGGTTGATGGGTGGAGGGGATCGGAGGGTTAGGAGTTTGTCCAAGCTGGGCCTCCGACAATGTCTGGTGACACTTAAAGGGTGAAACGAGAGGGTGGGGTGTGGGGGGAGGGTAATGGCTAGGGTGGCATGGAAAATGGGGGGATGTATTTTGGAGGGGTGGGGGTGAAAGATGAGGAGGATCAGAAGGAGCGAACACTGGGGGAAAGAGTCTTCCTCAGTCCTCCTTAACTCAGCCTCAGTGTTGTCAACCTGAACTAACACCTCAACAGGCAACACAGAGTTCCCTCAACACAAACCAAACAACACACTCTCAAGGTCTGTTCCAATATACACACACTACTGGCATTGTACATCATCCATTCTAAGTGATATGCTAGTCTGGATAATGGGACGTGCTAGCCATGCATCCCCTCACTATAGGGCGATGCATGGACACTGGGAACCCTGGTGTTATAACCTGTCATAACCTGTAGGCTGTAACCTGCATGGCCTCTCAGCTAAATGCTAGCTGTGCTACGCTTAATATATAACTACTGAAATACCACTTAACAAATACCAGACAGGAGAGAAACACAATCACCAATATACTACTACCATTACTATAGAACAGGAATCATACAGAGAGGAAACCTATCTAGGTTTATTCAGTAGCATGGCTCTAAGGAATGCAATATGTTCATTGAAAAATAGTGAGTGTAAATCATAGATTAGAAAAATTCACATCATGCAAGCTTGTGACAGAACATTGTTTTATCCAGTTTCCTTTGGGGAAAAATATTAGAGGGACTCGTGTGTCGTGTTTAGAAGCAGCTGAGCTGTCTGTAGCGGTTTCAACAAAAGGGCACAAGAGCACGGGGCTGGGAAATGGACTTGTCTTGCCAACTTCGGTGACACGGGGTGATATGCCAAACAATATACAAGTACAAGGCCTTGTGCATGATTGAAAATCACATTTGCCAACCATCATACCTGGGGAAACATCTCTCCTCCTCATATTTCCTCTCCAAATCAATCTCACCACTTTATGACCCCAAGAGAAAAATAGGTAGTGGTACGTCTCCCAACCTAACCAGCATGTTTGAGTATGTATTAGCGAGGCTCTTCTCGTAGAGGTGTCCAAAGGTCATCATCCTAACCAGCACTTACGTAACCATCTGTGGAAATCATTGTGAGAGAGAAAGATTTGTTGGGGAAATGATTTGCCAAGGGATCAAAGGTTATTTCACAATCTGAGATTTCTGACACTTGGGGAGGAGCCATCACTCTATAAGTACAGAGCTCAGAGGCAGAGAGGATCACAGGGAACTGACCATGAAGACTTCTTGCAAAGATTGTCCTCAGTGCTCCAGACCTATCAGCACCAACAACATTGCCAGGCACGAACGGGTGTGCAAGTCCATCAAGGAACGGAACCAAGTTCATCAAGAGACCAAGGATCTCAGAGCCGTAAGCGGCCTGGTCTCAAACGGGTTGTTCAATCCATATTCATTACGACCTTACCAGAGGACATTTACCATGTCTACTACCAGTTAGACTGTGGTGATCCAGAGGGGTTCACGGGAGACTTTGTCATCACTGGTTAGTGAGCATTTCGCCTTTGCCAAGATAATCCATCCACCTGACAGGTGTGGCGTATCAAGAAGCTGATTAAACAGCATGATCATTACACAGGTGCACCTTGTGCTGGGGACAATAAAAGGCCACTTTAAAATGTGCAGTTTTGCACAACGCAATGCCATAGATGTCTCAAGTTTTGAGGGAGCATGTAATTGGCATGCTGACTGCAGGAATGTCCACCAGAGCTGTTGCCAGAGAATTGAATGTTAATTTCTCTACCATAAGCTGCGTCCAACGTCGTTTTAGAGAATTTGGCAGTACTCACAACCGCCGACCACGTGTAACCACGCCAGCCCAGGACCTTCACATCCGGCTTCTTCACCTTTGGAATCGGGTGGGGGGAGGAGTGCTGAGGAGTATTTATTACATTTACATTTTAGTCATTTAGCAGACGCTCTTATCCAGAGCGACTTACAGGAGCAATTAGGGTTAAGTGCCTTGCTCAAGGGCACATCGACAGATTTATGTCTGTAATAAAGCTGGGTCTGGCTCCCCAGTGGGTGCACCCTTGCCCAGTCATGTGAAATCCATAGATTAGGGCCTAATGAATTTATTTCAATTGACTGATTTCCTTATATGACTCAGTATAAATCTTTGAAATTGTTGCATGTTGCGTTTTGTTCAGTATAGAAACCCTCATTGGATAACGCCTTGTTCTGTGCGTCATTACCCGGCAGTCATAGTCTAAATATATATTTAAAGGTGGATGTTTAGACACAGTCAGGAGAGGGGAGTACTGAGAGTGACTGAGATTACAGATGACAGCAGTCCTTTGTTTTTATACATTTGTTGTATATTTTTGTTATTTTATCATTTTCTATTGTTTGACATTTACATTTTAGTCATTTAGCAGACGCTCTTATCCAGAGCGACTTACAGTTAGTGATTACATATTTTTTATTTATTTATTAATTTTTATTTTATACTGGCCCCCCGTGGGAATCGAACCCACAACCCTGGCGTTGCAAACGCCATGCTCTATCAACTGAGCTACATCCCTGCCGGCCATTCCCTCCCCTACCCTGGACGACGCTGGGCCAATTGTGCGCCGCCCATGAGTCTCCCGGTCGCGGCCGGCTGCGACAGAGCCTGGATTCGAACCAGGATCTCTAGTGGCACAGTTAGCACTGCGATGCAGTGCCTTAGACCACTGCGCCACTCAGGAGACCTTTGGTCTCAATTCATGTATCATTCAGTAGCTATACATTTAGGCTAAACGTAGAAGCATCAGACATACTATATCCTTGGTTATTTATCTACAATACTTGACTCTGTACTCACAAGATTAGAATCCATTGCAAATTAATAAGGAAATTATTGAAACCGACACAAAGATTAATCATATGCACGAAAAACACTAGTTGGCATCCAATTGACACATACTGAAGTAGAAGTAGTATATTTATTGACGTTTATTTACCTTCCTTTTTAAAGCAATACTACTAGGATATGTTTGGTATGTTATGATTTGTCAGTTTGTTATGTCATATTAAGTTATTATTTTATGTTTTGTGCTGCTGTCTTTCTCTGTGTGTGTGTGATGGGCAGTCTCCTGAGTAACAGGTGTGTGTTTGTACAGGATTGTATTGGGCATCATCACTAAGAAGAATATATTAGCGCATCTGGAGGAGCTCAAGGAACACACGGAGCCCCTGGTGACTAGCCCCGCCCCCTTTCCCCTCCCATTCCACTGACCTCTCCCCCTTCTCCATTTCTGCCTCTTAGGCCCCACCTACCTAGGCGCGACGCATGAAACTGTAACTGACAGTTCCCGTTTCCAATAGCAACCCACTCGTCTTACTGTATCATATTTTCAACTCAATCATGAATGCACTCTTTTTTTTTAGGGGGGGTGGGTATCCACTTTCTCCTCACTGGATACCGTATTATCATTCACAAACACAAGTGTCACTCTGTCACTCTCTGGTCTCGCTATTCATTCACTACTAGTCATTGACAACAGTTAGTAAGATGTATATTTAAAAAGATCTACTCTATATGAGGGGTTTTATTATGGGTCCTGTAATGTTGGACTTTGATGGGAACTGTCATTTGAAGCTTGATTAGTTAAATATCCGCCATTTACTATTGCTCCACAGCCATTCCCATCAACAACATCCAACTAGCTATTAGTCCCTTCATCAGTAGTATGGGCTCCTTCATCTGCTATAAGAAGTCATTATAGAATATAGATAGAAGCATGAATATACTGATTGTATATTGATCTCATCCCCCCGCCACTGTCCCTATGACTTCCATACAGCCATGGAACCATGCCTGTTTTTTGTGTGTCTCACTCTGCCCATCGAAAACCTTCACACGCAAACATTATTACGTAATTTCACTCTAAAAGCGTCCCAAATGGCACCCTATATCCTATATAGTGTACTGCTACTTCTAGTTCAAAAGTAGTGCACTATGAAGGGAATAGGGTGCCATTTTGGACATAGTCCAGTTTGACTTCAATTAATTACTGCTTCTTCCTGTTTTGTTGTCTTTTTTTTTGTCTTTTTTTTTTTACCCCTCCTTCTCACTCCTCCCACCCCCCCCAACTGGGTCACCGTCCGTCCGTCTGTCTGGCGGACCAACAGATCGACGACATCTGACCCGACTACTCGTAGCGCCGCCGGCGTCCCCTTAACCGATTGGCGAGTAACCGGCCACTACGTGGGAGCGGACCGTTGGTTTTTCTGGGAGGGGGGAGATTTAGCATCAAGTGTCCCTCCTGTCCTGCCGTAGGCCTAGTAGAACCCTCCTCCTGAGAGAGTGAACTCTATAGTGGTGAAGTGATGATGGTAGTAGTAGCGTGTGGTGGTAGCTAATACTTGTAGTATAGGTTGCCAGCTAAGCCAAGCAACACACATCCCCCCAACACCCACCCTGATCCTAAACAGTACCCACCCCTCCTTCAACCCCCTCTCACCTGAACTCAACCCCCCTGCCTCACCCGCTGCCTCCCACCTCAACCCCCCTCACTCCTGATCTGGTTCCTGTAGCACTAACCCCACCAGTCCACTTCCTACAGGCCCCGCCTTCAACAGGCTGTCTCACCTACTCTGTAGATCAGGGACCATATTCATGAAGCGTCTCAGAGTAGGAGTGCTGATCTAGGATCAGGTCCCCCTGTCCTTATAATCATATTCATTAGGATCTAAAAGGCAAAGCTGATCCTAGATCAGCACTCCTGCTCTGAGACTACGCTTTGATACATACAGCCTCACCTCCTCTCACCACTCTCTCAGCTCAACTCTGCACTCAATGTCTGTCTCACTCTCTCCAATGTCTGCAGATGTCTCTCACTAAATCTCAAACTACAATGTTATCATCATAGCTGAATTCAAGAGCACAAGGGTTTGTAGTTATAACAAAAAAAGGCAATTCTAGGAATCATCATGTCTTAATGGACATTTAATTATTATCTGCTTGCACACTAGTTGCAAAAGGTAATTGACCCTCTGTGTTTTACATTACATTTAAACCTATTGTGACCTGGCTCTCAGAAAGGAGAAGGGTGTACCCTTTAAGGGAGCCGGTAGCAATGACCCCGTCGTATTTTAAATAAAAGTGCTCTTGAATTAGCCTGAAGACTCTTGACTGGGTGTTCCAGAATGTTTATCTCTGAGGACGTGAAGGTTTGGTTGGTTGGTAAGGCAAGGTGTTCAGTCTTGCTCTTCCTAGTGTGTTCACCTCACCTGCTCTTCCTATAGGTGTTCAGTTCATCTCCTCAGGCTTCTAACGAGAATCACTCACTCACCATTCTCCCCTGGTTACTCACCTCCTCTCCGCCTCCTATCCTTCCTTGGCACCAGTGGGACTCATGTTTTTGTTGGCATGGCTGCAGTGACACTGACAGTCACGGTTGGCTGAGTGGTAACTGTATTACTGCGTTCCCTGTATCACCTTGGGCTAAAATGCAGATACAGTTTGGAAGAAATGGAGCATTGCTTCTCTAGACTGTAGAATTTATCAGTATTATTTAGTCATTTTTATTTGTGATATAAATCATCAAGTGTCAGCCCCCAAAATAATATATATCTTATCATTATTTACCAGGCCCCAAAATAATTGTCCTCTGAAATTAAACAAATTGCCATCATTTTGTCAGTTAACAGAGCCTATTATTTTAGTTAGTTAACATTATCTAACCAAATAAAAAATATTATAATTCTCTCTCGATTGATTCCATGCTTGTATCCCTGGCCAACAAAAACATGATGCAATTCTCTCCCACGCCAACCAGACTGTGCTCCCTGCCAGCTCATCCCTGACTAACTATTTTCTCTCTCCCCCCTCTCTCTCTCCCCCCTATCTCTCTCACTCTTTCCTTCTCTCTCTGCAGGCGTCTCCTTGGTATTATCACAAAAAAAGATATCCTCCGTCATATGGCCCAGATGGCCAACCAAGACCCCGACAACATAATGTTCAACTAGTCACCTCCTTCCCGGGTCGTCACGACGACGAAAGCGAGGAGGAGGAGGAGGTGGTACACCTACTGTATGGCCTTGGCTCCACCCTATGACACACATCCCCCCCGGGAAACCCCATCCCTAAGCCCCCTCAATACTAAACCAGACTGACTGAACCCCACAGAGCCCTCTAGTGGCCACAGGAAGGAAGAGACACTCTAAAAGGACATTAAAAATGGCTGCTGTGAAGGATGTTTAGGCCCCAAAGTAGCAGCCACTACAGGCTGGGGCATATATACACAAGGAATGCACTTTTAACACACACATCCATTTACATACATACAGAAGACACATGAGGTCAGACTCACTCATACACAGATGCCACACAAGCATGCCACTAGCCGAATTGCACCTCCTTCAAACACACACACACGCTCTCTTCATGCTCCTTCATCCCTGTCCTGTTTCTATTGGCTCACGCTAGCGGACATTGCTGTGGGCCTGAAGCCTGGCTACCAGGGTGAGAGGTAAGAGGTCAGAATGATCCGCTAGAACGCGAGGAGGGACCTTCAGACACCTCGACTGCTGATTGGCTGTCAGCCCTGTCTGTCAGATGCCCTGCCAGGCTCCGCCCCCACTGTCTCCCTCACTCCACACCCCGTCCGTCTTCGAAAGCATTGTTTACCTGTGAACTCTGAGCAAGACAATGCATGTGTTTGTTTCACCTTGACGTTCCAATCAGGTTGTCATAGTATCACGAAACGACCCCCCCCCCAAAGGTAACCGCCTGATATTTGACTGGCTGTTGCTCCAAGGTGTATATGTGGGTGCGTGTGTGAGAGGAAGGAAAATCAAGGGTACAAGCAGGATGTACTGCAGTAGTTAGTTAACGTCTGAGTGTTGTAGTTCAAGAACAAAATGTCTCTTTCTGATGTATGTGAAAACGTGCTGTACAGAAGAGTCTGATACTCATCGGTTACATACCCTCTGTTGAAGTAAAGGGTGAATAACTGTGCGGTGTGTGTACCTTTTTGATCTGAGCCAGGTGGGCGTGAGTATCAGATGAGGAAAGACTCGTCCGTTTCTCCGACAGTGAAGGTGGGCAGTGTGTATATAAAAAAGCTAAACTAACTCGAGGTCGAGTTCTGTTACTGGAGAGAAAAAAAAAATCATTTTTTCTCTTCAAACTATTACTAATGCTACTACTTTTAGAGTATTGATATCTACATAATCAAGTAACTTTTTACGGCTTGTAATGAAACAAACTCAAGATTGGAAAACCACTTTTTTTTTTAAGTGAACAAAACAAATGGTTGATTATGAGGATGTTGATGGTAATACTGCACAGTAACCATGTCTTAGATATTTTACTTTGCTTAATTAAGCTGCCTCATTGGTGTGTGAGAAATGTGTCTTGTATTTTCCACTAGAGCTTAATATTTTCTTGCATATCTCCTCCTCTGCCCAGTCGTCAAGTACATCAATTCAACATTATTCTTTGCATTTGTAGATTTAAAACATTTTAAATAAACTTCCAGCACTCCATGGTTGCTAGCCCAAATGGCACCCTGTTTCCTATATAGTGCACTACTCTTGAACAGGGCCTGGATCATAAGTAGTGCACTATATAGGGAATAGGGTGCCATTTGGGACGTCAAGCAATTTTTCATTCTCAAAAGCATGAATTGAAAGGACTGAAATAGGAGTTACATTTCATATAACATTCAATTGACCATACCAAGTTTTTGGAGTCGTGCCAATAACTCCTTTAAACTTCAATAAAGTCTTGTATATTGACTTGGAGACATGTAGAAGCGCACAGTACACCCTCCATGTGCAAACCTAGACTCATGAAAAAAGAATATAGGATCATATATCTGATTCACCCTTTAATGTGTGGTCCACCACACAGGAAGCAGTGACCACAAAATGTGTGCGCCAGCCAAAGGAGTCCTCTTTCTCCCTGGCTTTGTTTCCATGACAATATGCATAGAGTAGCACTTTACCTGCTGAGTGAAGGCTATTGTTGTGTCCCAAATGGCACCTTTTCCCCTATATAGTGCACTACTTTTACCAGGGTTCTGGTCAAAAGTAGTGCACTATATAGGGAAAAGGGTGCCATTTGGGATACACCTTAAAGCGTGTGTAGGCGGCTGGGCAGGTGGTGACTACTCTCTGCGTATCTCTATTGCAGTGACAGTCTTAGGTTATATTCATTAGGCATCAAACATAAAACAGACAGAGGGACTATTTGGACCTTTCAATTTCTTTTAAAACGTTTTCAATTGCGTGCCCTAATGCAGGGTTTCCCAAACTCTGTCCTGGGGCCTCCCCTGGGTGCACGTTTTGGTTTTTGGCCGAGTTTGGGAAACCCTGCCCTAATGGATACGACCCTGCTCTAACTGTCAGTCTTTGTTAACCGATGTGGTGTCAAACAGTTTTCTTCTCTTCATAACTTCATACTCATCTCAATATTTTTCCTTTTTTTATTTATGGTAGTTAGTTGTACATTATTAATACTTTTATGATTACATTGATGGTTTGATTGTACATTTAAAACAATATGTAAAGATTTAAATTAAAATATTGCAAATTGTGTCCGTCTGAGTGGGTTCTTAACGATATTTTGAACATTTAACAAACAGGATTCTAATAGTATTGAGGTAAAAGGCTGAACACACCTCAGTTACTGTCAATCCAACTAGTTTTATGGTTTCTGCTATACAGCACAACTCAAATGTGTGAAGCTTCTCTCAGTAAACGTGATGAAGTTGGTGGTACAGTACACTAAACACCTATCCAAAGCACAATAACACTGATAGAATCCTCTCAGATCAGAAGCTGCTCTGTAGGCAGAGAGGAGGCGCACTGGTATAAAGAAAAGGAAGGGGGAACACTAGTGTAGAGGAATGAGAGGGGGAACACTGGGTCAAAGAACAGCAAGAGGAAAGAAACGCTGTGCCACCCAGACTTCAACACAAACCGGTCTTTGTGAATGCCTCCTTTCCTGTTCGAGTTGGGAGCAGTACAAAGACAACGCCAGCTTCTAATGCCAGTCAGTTTGCACTCTGTCTGCTTTCAGTGCTCACACAATCTCTGTTTTCCTCTCTCTCACACCCAAGTCTCCTGATACAGTACAGGGATCGTTCGCGCTCTGTCAGTCACTGGCCTAGGCCTGGCTTTCCATTCACATGCAGCTCTGCATGCCTTTGTGCCTGTTAGGCTCCTTTTAAAATCCACTACGCTATTTCTATGGGAGAGCTGTGTGCAGACTTCATAGAAGCTGGCTTCTAGATAGTGTGTGAGCGCGCACATCGTCGCCGGTATTCATCACATTATGCATGCATAGGTTAAAAATAAATAATGTATGCATAACTGTAAGTCGCTCTGGATAAGAGCGTCTGCTAAATGACTAAAATCTCAATCTAAATCTTAATGCTTTGCTTCCCCTGAACGCTCCTTCCTGCGAAGACAAGAGTGAGCTTAAACAAATGTTCGCTTGCTCGCTACCTATCTATAATGACCGCCGTAACTATGGTTACAAGAACAAGATGGCTGCCTTTTGTTCTCGTGCACATTGGGAGCGAGTGAGGCTGATTGGAGAAACGCATCAGGTGATGATGAGGTGTCATTGGTCCTCTCAGAGAGGGAGGGAGGGATGGAGAGAGGGACAGAGACTGGTTAGAGGCCTAGGATGGCACACAATGCTTTGTTAATACACGATTAAAACCACACCGGAGGAAACCATGGTAACACAGGAGACAGATTTTATTTTCACTACAAAAAAAGAGCCATCGAGCATAATTTAAAGCAGAGCAACATCGAACCCCCCTCCCTCCCCCCGACTATTAAGCAGAAGGAAAGTATTTTTAGTCCTGTTAAAGACTAATCCCAATACGTCACTCTCATTTCACATCTAGCCTCTGTTATTAAAGCATGTACAGAAGAGGGGGAAGAGGGTTGGGGTTTGAGACCCATTTAAAACGAGATAAACCTAATTAAAACATTCCACAAAAAAAATGGGGGGTAATATTGCATACTAGGAAACATATTAGGGACCATAAAGAAGGCAAAATGGTAAAACATCTAACAACTTGTGCATGATCAAAATACACCACAGTGGGTCATAATAATGTCTAATGCAATTTTTCAGAAACGTTTCAATGAACCACTTACTAGAAAGGCTATAGTGGTCATGTGATTATTAATTAAATGTATCACAGACCAGAAGGCCTGAAACAACTAGTCTTCAATCATCCACTGAAATGTTAGTCCTGATCCAATAATTCAGTTGTTAATATATTAGTCTATATAACTCACTTATATAGAGTTTAAATGAACACATTTGACTAAAGACCACACTTCTAAAGTCTAAAGTCCAGCATGCATTTGAAGGTTCAGGTTGGTTGTAACAGTGGTAGGATGATGTGCAATCTTTTGAAATTGAAACAAAAAAAGCCTTTGTGGTCTGCTTAGTAACAGTGATTGCACGAAGTAAGCTTGGAGCTAATTTATGAATTTATAATGAAACAGAATGCTGCAACGAAATAAGAGCATAATCATCAATAAGTCGATTTCCTGAAAATCGATTTTCGAGAATGCTAGAATCGAATAACAAACAGCTATTTTTTCCCCTGCTCACTAATACGAACAAATTAAATAGCCCTATACAATGCTTTATACTTACGCATATCAAATATTGATTATCCTCTCCTCTCCCACAATACATTCAACATGTAGATCCATAAGCATGAAGGATGATGATACGCAATGTCTTATCAAGTAAATTTATTGTAATCCAGACTAGGTTATTATAATATAATCCAGAGACAGACCTACATACATAGCTAGGTTCGAGTTTTAAACTAGTTCCGTTGCAAAGTGAAATAAAATGACCTTTTCTTGACATATTCTATGTTTTTGAGGGTGGGGTTGGGTTGGGAAATGCATAGGACAGGATCATTCATCCCTCCTCGGGAGCGTTTGTTGTTTTCTCTCTTTTCTGTTGTTTACACATGGCTTTCATAGATCACCTGACCAGGCTGTAGTTTAGTAGTAACCTCTGGCTCCACCTCTGCCTCCAGCTCCCCCCCTGCCTCCTCCACTGGCTCCTGCTCGGAACTTTGGTCCTCTTGATGCTCCTCCTCCTCCTCTAGGTGCAGGGGAGCCAATGGCGGAGGAGATGAGGGAGTGGGCGGGGCCTCGGCCAGAGCCGGGGCCTCCATGGGCAGTGGGGGGTGGATGGACACCTGGATGGCGATGTGCTGAGGCTGCTCGTGCAACGATGCGTCGTCGGAATCCGCTGCAGGGGATCCGGAACGCTCCCTCTCCCGGAGGATGGTGAAGACGTCGCCGGGCCCCACCCCGACCAGGGCCCCCTGCACCAGGGCCGCCCGGCATCCCGATGCCCCATCCAGGTGGTTCCCCTCTGGGGCCTGGCGGAGGAACGTGTGCCTCATCTCCTCAACCCCCACCACTTCCAGGATGTCCTCCATGAAGGTGCGGCAATTCATGATGAGGGGGGGCAGCGGGATGCTGCGGGCCAGCTCCTCGATGTAGCGGGCAAACTCCATGGTCTTGAACTGGGTCACCTTGGCCAGCTCCAGGGTCTTGGCTGACGTGATGATGGGGATACGCTTGGCGATCTCAAACGCCTTCTGGAGCTTTAGAGTGGAAGACAATATAGAATGAAATATAAATGTATTGGAAATGGAAATATAGATGGAAATGTTTCACCATACAATCAATATTAAAAACATCACATAGCCCAGTTAAAAACAAACACACACACACCCCCACCCAAACGTACTATGTCTACGTACGGTCTTCACAAGTATAGTAAAACACGACACAAACCTTCTCGGCGCCCTCTGTGCGGAAGAAGTCGTTGATGGCCTTCTCAGTCTTCTTCAGGTGGCTGCTCATCATGCAGAGGCGCGTGATGTTGAGGATCATGATGATGGTGAAGGTGACGAGGCACACGATCACGTAGTAGGCCCCCAGGTCCCCGTTGTGCAGGACCACGCGCATGGTCACCGTGCAGTTGGCGCTGCCGTGCACGTTGGACGCCATGCACGTGTACTTGCCGCGGTCTGCGAACCTGATGTCGGTGATGTTGAGGATGCCATCGTCTGTCAGCAGCCACTTGCCACCTGAGAGCGAGAGAGAGCATCACTGAAACCAACTGCATGTTTTTCATATCATGCCAGCCTCATATTGTATAAATCAGGGCCAGGAGTCCAGTCAGGTAGTGATGGACAACTCCTGACCCGAGTCATCATAATAATCTACAGGTCATGAACAATGGTAAAGGATAGGCCTAACCAGAAAATATATCATGATACATTGCTACAGAAACAAAAATGTCACACCATAGAAACAAGGGCCATTTCTCTTTTAGGAAGTGTTTATGGTTCAATCAAGATCTCTGTCACATGCATTTCCAGGTTGCAGAGACAGCAGTAACCAGGCCAGGGGGAAGGTCTCTGCTACAGTTCGTCATGACAGTCAGACAAGAGCTTTTTACAGCTAGCAGCCCAGCCTTTCTGAGAAGGACTTGAATTTGACACTGCATTTAAAAGAGACTAGATTGGTAATTCCCATTCATGTCAACCTATTTCCCCCCGTTCGGATCATTCTATTTCTATTCTTCTACTGTAGGCCTAGTTCTGGGGCTGGAAACCACTTTATATCTCCCTCACTTTATCTCTGGAATCAGGCTACTAATGGACTGCAACTGCATGCATTATGTTTTTGGCACAGAGTTCAATTTATTCAATATCACAAACAATCTAGGCCTATAAAAGACTTGTGCAATCAATTAACTGCAACTCATTAATCCATTCAGAGTTTCATCATTTTTATTACTATTGAGTCATATGATTCCTATTGTATCCATATTATTTCTTCCTGCAGGACTGTCCTCGAAGCTGCAATCCAGCAACCAGCTATTTTGCACTTTAAATAAAGTTGGATTGGATTTGAATCCTGGACCCCCCTACAGTGGACCAGTGTCTATGACCTGACCTTCCTCTAGTCACTGATAAATTATTTTCTTGACGAGTTAGAGCTGAAAGAATAGGCGGGCGGGCAGAGAGGTGCCCCTCACTTGTTTATTCCAATGTATGTCCCAAATGGCAGTGCACTACTTTTAATCAGGGTCCATGGGACTCTGGTCAAAAGTAGTGGGTCCTGATCAAAAGTAGTGCACTAAATAGGGAATAGGGTGCCATTTGGGACGCAAACCATTTGTTCAATATTTAAATAGAGGGTGAGGCTCAGGGACAATGGAATCTGTCTGGAAAAATACCAAGTGGTGCTTGTTGGTTAACAACAGGGAGACAAACGCCTGGAGCGGAACACAAACAAGTTGTCATGTAAATGTGGAACCATAATGAAGTAGCCAGCCAAACATTAAATCATGTTGACTATTGAAATGGGTTCTTCTTTGTCTACCACTACATTGATGTGTGAACTTCTCACTAAACTCATCTTGGTATATCCGATGTATTAAGAAGCTCTGTTATATCGAGCTAAATAAATGTCACCCAGGCTATATTTCACCATGGGTCTACATTGGCCACTAGTCTCCTATCATCACATGAAGTGTCATCTACCATTGCATTACAACAACATGCGTAGGCATGTTCTGAGACTGTGGCTAGATGGATGATTTCCAGATTCTGAACGCTCATCCTGAGTGGGTTGCTGACTATCAGAAAGAGAGTGTGTATCACACAGAGACAGAGAGAGAGAGAGAGAGAGAGAGAGAGAGAGAGAGAGAGAGAGAGAGAGAGAGAGAGAGAGCGAGCGAGAGCATGAAACCAATTCTGGAGCCTGAATAGTGTTGGGCTTGAGACTGAGAATGAATAGTGCAGTGCACACACACTTAATCCATCAATCCTCCAGCCTGTCTGTTGTGTCTCTAGAAAACCTGAATGGGTACAGGAAATGTAGTCGGACACCGGACATCAATTTATTTCCATGAGAGGAGAGGGACTTCTAAATTTAGACCCCCCTGTAAAGTGTTTCCAGGCTCGCTTTGATGCGTGTGTGGAAAGCAAAAGCTCTCTAACAAACAGTGGCAAAAGCCGTAAAAGCAAAGGAAAGTAATGTTCAACAGGGAAGAAGCAACTCCTATTCATGGGTGGCAAATTGCATCACAATATTGTTTTGAAAGTTAGTTTTAGGACTGATGCCCAACTGAGCTTTCTACTCAATGCATCCTCATTAGGCGCTGATGAATATTTGGTCTAAAGTGCATTACGGTGGCTTGAAAACACGATTACATTTTTATAGGCGGCAAATAGTTAGTAGGAAAACCTTGTCATCATATTGATGTCACCAGATTGACTTTAGATGCAGTATAATGCTAGCTAAGATTGAGAGGAGACCTCCAGATTATAGCTAGCTAACGTTAGCCTTGCTAGCTATTTTTGACGAACTTTGCTAGCTAATGACAACACTGCCATCTGTCTAAAGTAAATTTGACAACATGATAATGGCAAAGTTGTTTCCTACTAAATATGTGCATACTTAAGCAATGTTATCATATTCCCAAGCCCATATAGTGTAATTTAGACGACACAGTCAATAGTCCCGTTTCAAAGTCATTAACCCCCGTTCTACTTTTAAGCATCAATATGGCTGCGGCGTCTCTTGAACGTTGATAACAATGCAATGACGCGACCAACAGGCCAGTAACAGAGCCTTGTGGAGTACAAAGCACTAAGTCTTACACTGACAAATGTATGCATGTTGTTTGCATGCTACAGGTAATAAGCCCTAGTTGCAGTGGTTCAACGATGGTTGTTGCTCCAGCGCAAGTTCCAACAGGTCTGTTAAAAATGGAACCCACACTGTTCCTTTAGCATTCCTACTTATATAAGGTGACCCACGAGTTAAGAGCGAAGATACATTCTTCATTATTGTCAAGTGTAGCCGAAATGTTATCAAGGCTCGATTACATTCTTTCTCTCTCTGTTCTCTACATATTTTACCCATCTCCACTTTTCTCTTTCCAATCTGCCTCCATATATATAGCCTAGTAGATAGATTAGGACTGAATGAGAAAAAAAGTGACAATAGTATCCTATTCAATGCCATTCATATTTCATAATAGCATTGTCATATTACCTACATTCAGCTGGATACTGTGAAACAATGTATCAAGTATCTAGAGACAGCCTAGGTAGTGGCCGTGAACACCAATCTGCATCCATATAGGCTACAGTAGATAGACTACAACTGAATGAGAGAACCAAGACAACAGCATCCTATTCAATGCCACTACTATGTAACTTATCAAGTATCTACATTTAAGTAGTGGCCGTGACTTTTGAACTACAACTTTTTTGAAAAAGAGCCAACTGGCCAGCTTGTTTGATTTGTTGTCATATCATAATCATGGCGTTGATGTATGATTGTTATTATTTCCATCTGCAGGGTTGGCATTGCATCCTCACGACAACGATCCCCTTCATTATAGTCTGTCATAATGTCACTAGTAAATGTTACCTTCCCCCCCTTTCTGTCCCTCGCTCTCCCTCTGTCTCTCACTCTCTCTTTCCTGCCCTCTCTCCATCTCCCTCTCTCTGTTGTCCACATATGGACTTAAAATAGTACAGGGCAGGCAGAACTTTCACTGTAGTCTACAAAGGCTTCCTATTGGCCATACAAAAACTTAACTACAGGGGGATTTACAACTATAAATCATAATTCTAGCTATTTCAATTTTTTTCATGACATGGACAGTTTGTTATTGCGGTCATCCTCTGCATCAGCCTATTTGCATGTTAATATGATTTATTACATAATTCATTATTATCGAAAGAGAACATGCCTTTAGCCTGACAGTTCAAGTTGGTTGAGAAAAATGTCTGTAGAACAGCTGCTGATTGTGAGGTCAGAGCCACATCAGGGCTTTCTTTATAACTCCATATTCTACGAACGTGACTTACTTGTCTCAGTGTCTAGCAGGTCTCCATGCGAGTTGAACCACTTTACATTCGGGTCAGGGTCTCCAGTGACGTTGCAATCAATAAGCGCGCAGTTGCCCTCGCGGGCGATGATCTGGCTTACTTTCGAGAACACGAGGGGGACAAATCCACCATCAGCCACCGTGCCGTTTTCCGTGCTGTTTCCATCTGAAATCGCCGATAAGGCCGCGGGGGTGTGGAGGCTAATAACCGCCAGTAGGAAGAAGCTAAAATCGTAGCTGCTTGCCCGATGCATTTTTTCTTCTTCCTGACGGTCGCTTTCACCCGAGAAGAGTTTGTCATGCCACTGGCTATCTCCTGATAGCGGTAATTAAAGGCAATTTGGTATTCTGCTCCGAATCTTTAAACATTCCACTGAAAAGAAAAGAAAAAGCACCCATGAACATTGTGCACAGTCCGTTTGTTTAGACATCATTTTGTTTCAGCAGCGAGATCAACTATAAGGCCACGGACCTCAATCAGAATGTGTTTGACATTCCTGGTTTATAATTAACCCCGTCAACCAAATAGTCTATGACATTGACAACAACAAACACACAAAATAATACAAAAACAGGTTGACTGCCAAGCTAACATTGTAACATTGACATTGTTGTTATAGCAGACTAGACTACGGCTGGAACCGTGTATTTTGTTACAACATAGCTAGAGCTGCAATGTAACATAACAGGCATGATTTCACATGACATGCCTATAATAAGTTCTGTCTATTTGTATTAGGCCTAACTACATTAGTAGTATTGTTGTCTAAAATCAGTTACAAGTTTGATAATAATATTAGTTAGTATAAAACAATATAAGTACTGATAAGCATCACTGCTGGTTAGTTGACAATTTGTATGGAAAATAGTAGCTAACCTAGTTAGCTAGTTTAGCCATTTGGGATATTTTTTTGCACTAGCAGCTAACGTAACTGGAGACAAAATCGCGGAGGTTTGCTATCAAACTAACGCTAACCTTAGCCAGCCTGGAAAGGACACAACGCCAACGGGTTGTAGCTAGCTAGCTTCTTTGATATAACTTATAGACGACACTATATAAACGGTGAAGTAGTTCACATAATATAGTTAACTCAATGTTAAATATAAGGTTGGCTAACAGAAAAACAAACAGATTAGCTAACTAGCCATCATAGCTCGCTAGCTAGTTTACTAGCGATAACCTTATCTCGCCGAATATCGTTTTCCACCAACATCTGATTGTATACTTACACTTTTATTTAGCTTACATATGTTTAATCGTAACGAGGTAAAGAAGGAGAGATCACCGTCTGTCTTTCGGCCTTTGCTGCATTCCGCTATTTCTTCGACGTCCTCATCTCTCTTCGGTTCTCTTGCTCAGCTGGTCGCGTGACACAACATTCGTTCGCTGCAGCATTCAGCTTCCCTAGAATCCCTACCCTAGTCAAATTACCAGCAGGCAGCAAGAAAACTAGGTCGGTCATTGGCCACGCACCAACTTTATGTGATCGTATTAAAATGGGTCCACATGCGCAAAAAAAAAGATTATTGGATTAACTATAATAGTACAGTACAGTAGCCTATCTGAATGGTAATCATGAATGTGTCATCAGTCGAATTAAATTTATATAGAAAAGTAGGCTATATTTCATTTCCCCAGCGTCATCAGTGGAATTAAATGTAACTAGAAAAGTAGGCTATATTTAATTTTCCCCAAAATATTTGCAATTAATGACAACATCACATCACTTATTGTTCCAAAAACTAAAACACAGAGCAACTGAAACATTTACTGTCTTACATGAATGAATGAAGTGCATTCATTCATGCAGTGGACTGAATAGACTACTTTTAGGGCTTTCTGCTTTGTCTGCCCTTTCTCTTTCTATTGAGTCTTGGACATTCGACTACAGTTCTTCAGGCACTTAACAGAGGCCAGTGTCTCACTCTCTCTCAGGTCCAGGCAGTTTGCCATCATCAACCACTGCATTGTTCGATCTGACGGACAGAACTACAGCACTTAAGACTCATGAAGAGCCCCATATACCAGGGCACTTAATTTTGTGGTTCTATTGAATCCTCTGACTTCCCTTTGTATATAAAAATGACGGATGAGATGAGTTATAATCAGAAAATAACTAGTTTACAAACATTAAATCAAGACAATTAGTAGCTACTGTATGCATTGCAGGCTCTCTCCACACTCCCCCCCCCCCCCCCCCCCCCCCACCCCTCTCCAAAATCCCTCTCCCCACACTCCCCCGGTTGTGGTCAAAAGAGAGTGTATAAAGTTCAGGTGAAGAAAAAAAACTGTTTTGCTCAACCCAAGTAGGTTATATCTGCCTTCCGGAGTGGATTATTGATCGACCTTGTCACTGCTTTAAAAGCACGAATCAAACTCTGAAATGGACACGGGCTATTAAAAGACTCAATCCATTGATCCATTAATCAATAATACTAGCTATCTCACATTAGCAAGTGTTGATATTGCGGAAAGAGTGTCATTTCCCAATAGATATACGGTACACAACACAGAGGAGTTTCAAGGAACTGCAAGTTCAGTTCTAAGCAGTAGTGAGACAGAGGTTTATACTGTACACAAACAAACACTCCTCCTAAGCACCATACGCACAGTGGCCTTGTGTGTCTGGCCTCCACAGCTCGTAAAGCCGCTACATACTGGAGCAGTGAAACATTCTAAGTCACGTGAAGTCACACTTTTAAAGGTAGGCCAACAAACAGTCCTAACCGCCATAACTCTCTGCTGCTATAAAATGGTAACATGCACACACACACAGTGTAAGAAAAGATTTTCATTTAATCTGAAATCAAAGATCCCAGAAATGTTACATATGCATAAAAAGATTATTTCTCTCAAATGTTGTGCACAAATGTGTTTACATCCCTGTTAGTGAGCATTTCTCCTTTACAAAGATAATCCATCTACCTGACAGGTGTGGCAAATCAAGAAGCTGATTAAACAGCATGATCATTACACAGGTGCACCTTGTGCTGGGGACAATATAAGGCCACTCTAACATTTGCAGTTTTGCCACACAATACAATGCCACAGATGTTTTGAGGGAGCATGGAATTGGCATGCTGACTGCAGAAATGTCCACCAGAGCTGTTGCTAGAGAATTGAATGTTAATTTCGCTACCATAATCCACCTCCAACATCGTTTTAGAGAATTTGGCAGTACGTCCAACCAGCCTCACAACCGCAGACCACGTGTATGGCGTTGTGTGGGTGAGTGGTTTGCTGATGTCAAAGTTGTGAACAGAGTGCCCCATGGTGGCGGTGGGGTTACGGTATGGGCAGGCATAAGCTATGGACAATGAACACAATTGCATTTTATCGATGGCAATTTGAATGCACAGAGATACCGTAACGAGATCCTGAGGCCCATTGTCGTGCCATTAATCCGTCACCATCACCTCATGTTTCAGCATGATATTGTACGGTCCCATGTCGCAAGGATCTGTACACAATTCCTGAAAGCTGAAAATATCCCAATTCTTCCATGGCCTGCATACTAACCAGACATGTCACCCACCCATTGAGCATGTTTGGGATGCTCTGGATCAACATGTATGACAGCGTGTTCCAGTTCCCGCCAGTATCCAGCAACTTCGCACAGCCATTGAAGAGGAGTGCGACAATTCTCAGTCATATGAAATCCATAGATTAGGGCCTAATTAATTTATTTCAATTGACTGATTTCCTTATATGAACTGTAACTCAGTAAAATCTTTGAAAATGTTGCATGTTGCATTTATATTTTTGTTCAGTGTAAATACTGTATAACATTTCACAGTTAAAAACTATGAACGTTTTGGTGTTCAGAAATGCTTGGCTCAAGTAATGCTGATTCAGTTGTAAAGTTGTACAAAATGTCACACAGTGTTAGCTACCAAGGTAGACCGATGACTGCAAAATGGTGATTACATTCACAGTCATCTCCAAAGCAACATGCGTATCTTGTCTGAGGTAAGTTTGTATCTTTGTAATTCAAGGTGATTCAAGTTTGTGGCGTTGATTGTTGACTTCTGCAAGCAGAGGGAACATGCCCCGATCCACATCAACGGGACTGCAGTAGAGAGTCAGCAGTTTTAAGTTCCTTGGCGTCCACATCACTGAGGAGTTGACATGGACCAACAACACCACCACTCTTTTCAAGAGGGAGCAACAGCGTCCCTACTTCCTAAGGCGGCTGAAGAAATTCGGCATGACACCCGGGTCCTCTCCAAATACTACCGCTGCACCATCGAGAGCTTCCTGACTGGTTGCATCACAACCTGGTACGGGATTCGCTCTGTACACGACCGCCAGGCCTTCCAGCAGGTGGTGAAGACTGCCCAGTACATCACTGGGACTGTGCTCCCACCTATCCAGGACGTCTACTCAAAGCGGTGCCGGAGGAAGGCCTGCAGCAGACGGTATCGGAGCATGAGGTCTGATACCAACAGGCTCAGAGACAGTTTCTATCTACAAGCCATCAGACAGCTGAACTCATGAACTAGACTGACCACCTGCTCTGATTCTCCACACCTTAGCACCCCATGCACTCACTCAAGCACACACCCACACACACATCACAACTGCTGATACCAAACCCTTATTAAGATTGCTAAATACTGCACAATTTAAACACTTGCCCCCCAATCCCCCAAAACACATGCAAATATTGGACTATAAATTGTGCCTTCCTGTATTATATTTATGCTAAAACATTTATTCTATTCTACTGAGCCATTAATGTTCGTATTCTTATCTTTTATTATTTCTTATTGTTGTTGCATTGTCGAGAAGGAACCTGCAAGTAAGCATTTCATTGGACGGTGTATACCATGTGTATCCCGTACATGCGACTAATAAAACTTGAAGCTAGTGTATTCGTAAAAGATTTATCTCTGTCAATGAAAATAGTTCATAATCTATTTGTTATTCCTGATGTATTCCTCACAACGCTTCCTTGATGAGTGCAGAGAGCCTCTTGAAAGCCTGTGGAGAAAGAGAGAGAAGGGAACTGTATTACTCATTTATTGCCTTCAAGTGCATTTGTATGTATGCATTTGTAAGTATTTGGTCACCTACAAACAAGCAAGATTTCTGGCTCTCACAGACCTGTAACTTCTTCTTTAAGAGGCTCCTCTGTCCTCCACTCGTTACCTGTATTAATGGCACCTGTTTGAACTTGTTATCAGTATAAAAGACACCTGTCCACAACCTCAAACAGTCACACTCCAAACTCCACTATGGCCAAGACCAAAGAGCTGTCAAAGGACACCAGAAACAAAATTGTAGACCTGCACCAGGCTGGGAAGACTGAATCTGCAATAGGTAAGCAGCTTGGTTTGAAGAAATCAACTGTGGGAGCAATTATTAGGAAATGGAAGACATACAAGACCACTGATAATCTCCCTCGATCTGGGGCTCCACGCAAGATCTCACCCCGTGGGGTCAAAATGATCACAAGAACGGTGAGCAAAAATCCCAGAACCACACGGGGGGACCTAGTGAATGACCTGCAGAGAGCTGGGACCAAAGTAACAAAGCCTACCATCAGTAACACACTATGCCGCCAGGGACTCAAATCCTGCAGTGACAGACGTGTCCCCATGCTTAAGCCAGTCCATGTCCAGGCCCGTCTGAAGTTTGCTAGAGTGCATTTGGATGATCCAGAAGAGGATTGGCAGAATGTCATATGGTCAGATGAAACCAAAATATAACTTTTTGGTAAAAACTCAACTCGTCGTGTTTGGAGGACAAAGAATGCTGAGTTGCATCCAAAGAACACCATACTTACTGTGAAGCATGGGGGTGGAAACATCATGCTTTGGGGCTGTTTTTCTGCAAAGGGACCAGGACGACTGATCCGTGTAAAGGAAAGAATGAATGGGGCCATGTATCGTGAGATTTTGAGTGAAAACCTCCTTCCATCAGCAAGGGCATTGAAGATGAAACGTGGCTGGGTCTTTCAGCATGACAATGATCCCAAACACACCGCCCGGGCAACGAAGGAGTGGCTTCGTAAGAAGCATTTCAAGGTCCTGGAGTGGCCTAGCCAGTCTCCAGATCTCTATGCGTGGGTGTGTGTGTATGTGTGGCTGCATTTGCATGTGTCACGATCGTCGAACACAGTGGACCAATGTGCAGCGTGATGAGTGAACATACTTATTTTATTCCACACGAAACAAAACGATAACGTGAAGTCCTTGGTTACAATACAAAACCAACACGGAACAAGATCCCACAAAACACTGTGGAAAACAGGCTGCCTAAGTATGGTTCCCAATCAGAGACAACAAGCAACAGCTGATACTCGTTGCCTCTGATTGAGAACCACCCCGGCCAACACAGAAACACATGAGCTAGATAATCAACCTAGAACACAAAACACATAGAAACAACACACCCTGGCTCAACATAACAGAGTCCCAGAGCCAGGGCGTGACAGCATGTGTGTGTGTTTCTTTACCTCATCGATCTGTTGCGGTGTGGAGAGGGAGAAGGCCGCTCTGACATAAGGACAAGGGTCTGAGCTGTTGATCATGAATACACCTCCAGGGACAAGCAGCACCTAGGACAACAGACAATGTTTAACCAACCAGCACCTACTACCAAATATGGACACTAAGACAAAAGGGGGCCAAAACTGTACTGCTGCTGCTGCGGTTGGTGGCTGTAGCCCCTATGAACTTCTGTCATAGTTAATTTGCTCACCCTCTCACACACACATGCGCACACACACACACACTTATCTTGAAGCGCTGGATTATGTGTCATAAAACTACTGCTTCAAATCAAATCAAATTTTATTTGCCACATGCGCCGAATACAACAGGTGTAGACATTTCCGTGAAATGCTTACTTACAGCCCTTAACCAACAATGCATTTATTTCTTTAAAAAAAAGTAAAATAAAACAACAACAACAAAAGTGTTGAGAAAAAAAGAGCAGAAGTAAAATAAAATAACAGTAGGGAGGCTATATACAGGGGGGTACCGGTGCAGAGTCAATGTGCGGGGGCACCGGCTAGTTGAGGTAGCTGAGGTAATATGTACATGTGGGTAGAGTTAAAGTGACTATGCATAAATAATTAACAGAGTAGCAGCAGCGTAAAAAGATGGGGTGGGGGTGCAAATAGTCCTGGTAGCCATGATTAGCTGTTCAGGAGTCTTATGGCTTGGGGGTAGAAGCTGTTGAGAAGCCTTTTGGACCTAGATTTGGCGCTCCGGTACCGCTTGCCGTGCGGTAGCAGAGAAAACAGTCTATGACTAGGGTGGCTGGAGTCTTTGACAATTTTGAGGGCCTTCCTCTGACACCGCCTGGTATAGAGGTCCTGGATGGCAGGAAGCTTGGCCCCAGTGATGTACTGGGCCGTACGCACTACCCTTTGTAGTGCCTTGTGGTCGGAGGCCGAGCAGTTGCCATACCAGGCGGTGATGCAACCAGTCAGGATGCTCTCGATGGTGCAGTTGTATAACCTTTTGAGGATCTGAGGACCCATGCCAAATCTTTTCAGTCTCCTGAGGGGGAATAGGCTTTGTCGTGCCCTCTTCATGACTGTCTTGGTGTGTTTGGACCATGATAGTTCGTTGGTGATGTGGACACCAAGGAACTTGAAGCTCTCAACCTGTTCCACTACAGCCCCGTCGATTGCATCATCTGTGGATCAGTTAGGGCGGTATGCAAATTGGAGTGGGTCTAGGGTTTCTGGGATAATGGTGTTGATGTGAGCCATGACCAGCCTTTCAAAGCACTTCATGGCTACAGACGTCAGTGCTACGGGTCGGTAGTCATTTAGGCAGGTTATCTTAGTGTCCTTGGGCACGGGGACTATACAGTAGACTCTGTGTGCTGATATTAGATTAGCTATAACTTTTACACTTTCCCAAACCCGCTCTGCACAGAACCCAGCCTTTTATAATCTACTGCAATTGGCTTCAATTGTTTAGTGCAGTGAGGGAAAATACCCCATGTTAGATTTTAAAAGCCCAATTGTGTTTCCTGTTCTTTTCACATAGAAGCAGACCAATCAGCGTGGATTTGGAGTGTTTTTGTGTCGGCGGGGAAAACCGTGGGATTTTAAATCCATTTGCCTTCGTGGATAATGGCAGCTTCACATACTATCCAACATCCTATTCCTGACAAGCACTAGCCCGGCCCTTAGTGAAAATCTCTTACTACTCATCCTGCATGCATGAGTAGGACTAGAAATCTAGACAACAAAACAACAAGACAGACACTAGGGTTACCTGTAGCCGACTTGTTGTTAAAGGAGAAGTTCACTTTATTTGAACCAAATCTCTATTTTCGATGATTTGGAGAAACTTACCCCACCAGCGATATACTTCCTCATGCTCATTCGGCAGTTGTAGGGGCACAGAAAAACATGAACAAAGCCTTCAAAGACACCCAAATACGTCCTTTTAGAAACGGCAAAGCTCTCAGTATAGTAATGCAGGTCTTTAACTGTTGTACACATGAAACTGTGTCATTCCGAACTTTATCCGCAACTTTGTATTCCATTTTGTGCATCTCGAGTGATACTTCTCAATATAGCCCACAATACTTTTATGTGTGTGCTACATTGAGAAGCAGCACAGCTGGATAGAGGAAACTGCTCAAATGGAATAGAACGTTGCGGATAAAGTTTGGAATGACACAGTTTCATGTGTACAACAGTTAAAGACCTGCATTACTATACTGAGAGCTTTGCCGTTTCTAAAAGGGCGTATTTGGGTGACCATGAGGAAGTATATCGCTGGTGGGGTAAGTTTATCAAAAACAAGTGAGATCACAAAAAAAGTGTCTGGGCACTTCTATAACATGCCATTTACATCGAAAATAGAGACTTGGTTCAAATAAAGTAAACTTCTTCTTGAAGTATCTCAAATATAGATATTATAAACGACTTGAACCGCCCAAAGACACAGGACTTCAATGTAAGTGAACTATTTTAAATCATCAAACATTATCTCATTCAGTCAAACAGGCTGTATTAGTTTAGTCAGTGTATGTGTGAGCTGTGGTGAGCCCTAGGCAAGGTGGGTCTGTAGGGTAGAGTTTGGACTGTGTGTGTCTGTTTACCTCTTTCTCCAGAGCCTTCTCCATGATCAGCTGTTGGGTGTCTGCGATGCCCATTCAGCTTGATCCACAGGAACATGCCTGCAGCTGGGGCGTGCCACTCTGCCACATCTACACACCCACCCACACCCACACACACACACACACACACACACACACACACACACACACACACACACACACACACACAGGAGCAGGGATATTGTTTCTTATTATGCCTTTGGCATAGCACTACTTCCTCTGTAGATTTGTGATTTTAACAAGGTACTAGCACTGTGTGAGGTGTTTTTAATGTTAGGCTTCAATGGACACAACCATGTGAGTGAGTCAAACACAAACCTTTGAGCCACTTGTCTGCAGATGAGAGCATGGCATCTCTCTGTGTTCTGTAAAACTCAATCACTCTGAAAGAGAAAAGGTTTGTCCGTCATACTGTAAAGTGCTGAACTGTTGATACTGTAATCAATACCCCCCCAAAAAGCAATAATCGCACAACAACCCATAACACAAACAACTCATATCTCTAGCTATATTGACACCATCGATGCGTGATGTTTTTACAGGTGCCAGTGGTACGACCTTTGACCTACCCATCTATGTGGTTGAGGAAGCCTTCTTGACCCCAGCCATGCAGCAGCTGGGACACCATGAGCTGGAGAGGGAGAGATGGAGAGAAGGAGAGGGGGGACCGAGAACCGGCCAGGGTGCAGTAGTCACCACTGCATTTGTTGCATGTTCCAGTGCATTGTGTTGCATGTTCTTCTCTCACATTGTAAACAAATGGAGTTAACTCTTTATAAATTCCCCATATTGTCTCTAACATTCCATACTTCTATATCATCTATATTTATTAAGGAAAAACAGATGTGACGATCAGAGAGACAGACGGACAGATGTAATTACATATATTCTAGAGAGCTAGACAGTGTGCTTGTCTTTGACTCACACATCTTCATTTACTTATTCCCTAATTTCCTTCTGCATGCGTGAAAATAACCCACAGATGTTACAATAACATGATATTCGTCTACAAAGAGCAGGCAGCGAGTGAGCATGACTGTCTCGTTCTGCCAGCTCAAGGAAAGTGAATTAGCGTTGCATTAAAGGGAAAATCCAGCATCATGATGATGTGGCCGGTGAACCCTTGCTTCTTGAAAGTCCAATATCTTGAAAACTTGCCTGCTGACATGCAAAACATGTTGGAACTGCATCAACCATGGACTAATGAAAGAAATACCAAAATATTGTTTTTGAGTGGATTTTCTCTTTAACCTCTGTGATGACAGGGATTAAACAACTAACACTTTCTTTCTACTCTCATCTCTACGGGGAACACATACAATTATGCCACTAATCTATACTGAGAACGGTACAGTACATTCACAGAAATAAATAGAACATGATATAGTAATATCTCTCTCGATGATTGCATTTGTCTTATTATTGCTATGGTAACTACTCACATTGAAACTGCTGCCAACTGTCTCTTCTGGCAAAATAACTTTAAAAAACTATAATCAGGGTCGTATTCACTAGCAACCAAATGGGAAGAAGGCAGGCCAAAACGTGGAGGGTCTACCTGAAATGTTTACTACCTTGTTTTACCTTGGAATACCTTGTTTTCGTTTTCTGTTGGAAAACGTGTTGTTACGCTGTGCACTACTGAATACGCAGTTTCATGTTTTGCTGTGATTACAGTCACAGGAAAGAAGCCTATTATGGGATTTAAACAATGACTAGAGACTAGAGGCAAAGTAGAAAATACAACCAAACATCACATGAAATAAATATGCCTGAACGTATTTATTACTACGTACCATTAATTTTAAAGGGGATGGTATTGCAGTTTACTAAGACATGAATGCTATATTACTTATTTATTACTACATGTTACTACATGTGTTTCAAAGCGAATGGTGGGGTAGTTTACTACCAGGCCTACTTTTAAAGGGGAAGGTGATGCAATTTTAAAGGGTGTGATGTGGTTAGAAGTAGAGGTTAATTCACCTGTGTGAAGGTGCTAGTATGCATTGTAGAAGCCTGGATGTGTAGTACCACTCTGTCCACCAGCGGCTTGGGCCCAGTTACAAAGCCTATCCTCAGCCTGCAAAGACAGACACAGAGGGTCATACCTGCAGAGACACACACATGGGAAAGGCAGACAGGGGCCATTTCACCAGTGAAGGAACATCATAACAACAACAATGAGCAGCGTGTCCTCGCTCTGTCTCTCTAGGTGCTGCAGTGCTGCATCCTGTGTGTGTGTGTGTGTGTGTGTGTAATACCTACTGGGAATAGCACAAGGTAATTAAATTGTCCACATGAACTGGAAATACAAGGACTCACTAACCCACTGAGTACACAGCTTCTGACTCAATCTCTCGGTAAAAAGGTTCTGACATAGAGAGACAGATTACAAAATCCCACTAAAGTAGCTAGTAATAGTGTAATAACTGAAACTGTATTTTTTAAACTATATTTTTTAGTCTTTGTATGTTTATTGGATAGCGAGATATAGAAGTGAAAGGTAGGTCAGAGACCCCAGGCTACTGAACAGGTCTCTCTTGCCAAAGAGATTATTATCTCAATTAGACAAACCTGCATAAATAAAGGTAAATTAATACAGTGACTGTACTTCCTTCTTCCTCCCTGACCTCTGACCTCTAAACCCACATAGTTGCCTTGGCGATCTGAGTCTGCCTCACCCTGACGACAGGATCTTTGAGAAGGAGTCTGTCCTAATGATTCTCCCGTCAACGTCCATGGAGAGAAACGTGGGAGCCCAGGGCTGCAGACAGAGAGCGAGAGAGAGAGAAACACATGAGCAACCTGTTCTATGATATACAGCAGGGGTGATACCAGTGCAATGCGTCCCAATAAAACATACAAAGTCATAATACATTAAACAATGAACCCATTTTTACCTTGTCAAACTGTAGGAAGTAATAGGGGTCGTCCTCAATAATGAGGAGGTCATACTCCCTGGCAAGCTGTCAAAACGGGAACCAAAACTTGATTAGTTCTGGTGAAGTAGACCTTTAGGGAAATCAATATTTGACAGAGGCTTGAATAGAACAAGCACAATCATTTCAAAAAGAAACCCTCCCTTTCCCTTCGCTCCTCTACGCATGAGTCAGTGTTTTAGGGTCAGGTGTTCTTCACTGGTCGCGTGACCTGACCAGGACCGTGTAAAACTCCGGCCCTATTTGAATAAGACTGTTAAGGAAATCAATAATAAGAACTAGAACAATGGATTCAGATTGGGTTCCTCCCAATTTCCTTCCCTAATGTCAGTTAGCCTGGTCCCAGATATGTTTGTGCTGTCTCACTAACTCAGAGACAGCACACAGGACAGCACAAACAAATCTGGGACCAGGCTATAGACACTATTTGTCAGGCTATAGACACTATGTGTAATTGTGGCTGCAATATACACTATCGGTCTGTACTCTGCGGTCTGTACGCTATTCAAATTGGTTGCCTCCCTTTCCTTCCCTTTCCCATCCTATCCCGTAGAACTCAGAGAATATTGTTAAATGGAAGCTTCTCTAACATCAGATATGTACAGTGCGGTATCCCTCAGGGCAGTTGGCTTGGGCCGAAACTGTTCTCTATTTTTACAAATGATTTGCCACTTGTCTTACAAGAAGCTAAAATGGGGGAGCTAGAGAGCGTGCTATGGAATAGACGTGTTTTGTTAGAGCTCCGCTCAATTTTGAAACAAATTCATATTTATCTTAATCTCTCACCACCTATAATTTCAAACATTGTCTGGCAATGTGACAAAGGGAAAAGGCGCTAAACAAGATAATTTGGATGAGACAGACAATGAACTGATGTCAACATCGCTGACCCACGAGGACTTAGCTGAAGACGCTAGCTCCCAAGAGCTCCCCACAGAACCTACTCCAAGTGACCTACTGGCCGCTATAAACTCACTAAGCAAGAAGTTGGACACAAGGTTGGCTGATATCTCAAAGAGTATTGGGACTTTGACTGAAACTGTGAAGCCAACCAAGGCAAGGGTGCATGAGGTCGAGCAGACGACAGTTGATTTATATGCGGAGCATCTATATGCCTAGTTAAATAAAGGTTAAATAAAAAATAAAAATAAAGTCACGAGGCCAGGCTACAGGACATAGAGAAACAGTGCGCAATGTTCAAAAATGACAACAAAACCCTGAAAGCCCGACTGGAAATGCTCGAGTCACATTCAAGACGCTCGAACATCAGAATATTTGGGATCCAGGAGGACACTGAGAAAGGGAAACCCACTGAATTTGTTTTAGAGCTGATACCAGTATTGCTGGGGAGTGAACTCTTCAAAACGGCCATCCTGATTGACCGCGCACACAGATCACAGGCAATGAAGCCGGCCAAGGGAGCACCACCAAGGCCATTCATCGCACAGCTGCACTATCCCCAGACCAGGGATCTCATCCTCAAGCTGGCTAGTCATAAGTTCCCCCTTAACTACAACGGAGCCAGGGTGTCTTTCTACCCAGATCTTACTTTGGAGGTGAGGAACCAACGGAAAGAGTATGATGAGTTGTGCAAGAAATGCAGGGCGGCCAACATCCGATATGGATTCCTCTTCCCAGCCTGGTTTAAGGTGACAGTCAAGGGATCAACACGTACGTTTGACAACCCAAAAGAGGCCGACCTGTTCTTGTCAAGCAAGCTTCCTGGCTGAGGATACAGAACTGCTGTCAACAGGCTAAGTGGCCAAATATAGGCCAGGAATGTGTTTGAATTTCCTGCCGATGTCTTTTCGATTAGAACATCAGAAATCGGGACTTATAATGATGGGTGAGATGTTATTGCTTACATAGCATTGTTTAGTCCTATCATGTTTTAGTTCCACTCACGTGAGAGTTAAGTGTTATTTAATATTTGTTTATATGCGGAGCATCTATAGATGCCAAGTTAGTTCAGGCTTTATGTCTAGTCAAGGAGTGCTTCGTTTGGGGAAGTCACTCAGTAATGAGATGGGAGGGGGGATGGGGTCTGTGTTTTATGTGCACTTTTAGTACAGGTGGCATGACAAGTTCCCGCACGGCGGGACGTTTTTCTTTTGGGTTTTGTATGACAGCAACAATTTGCTCTAAAATAAGAAATGCCACATAGTGACCGGGCACAGAGTAGACCTGGTGGATTAAAGATCAGTTGGAAGTCAGTTGGAACTGCAATGGCTTAGGTCATGTCGTGAAAAGAGCTAAGGTTTTTTCTCATCTTAAATCACTGGGCGCTGACATAGTGCTTCTTCAAGAAACTCATATTAAACGCTCGGCTTCAGGACAAACTATGAGTTGGCTGGATCAGTCAGATCTACCAGTCTAATTTTGATGCAAAAGCGAGAGGGGTAGCAATCCTGATAAGGAAAAACATTCCTTTTATTTACTCATCCTCGATTTCAGAGCCTAATGGTCGGTATATTATTGTGGCTGGTACACTGAATTCGATACCAATAACCTTGGTCAATTTATATGGACCCAACTTCGATGATCCATTATTTTTTCAAAGGCTATTTAAGGCCATACCAAATTTCTCGGATACAAGTGTTATTGCTGGAGGCGACTTTAAGTACGTTAGATCCTCTGTTAGATAAACAGCTATCAAGGTCACAATCAAATGCCAGTGTCTGTCTAAATACATTGATGACAAACCTTAACATTGTCGAAATTTGGAGACTGACGCACCCAACAGATAGGGATTATTCTTTATTTTCGTCAGTTCATAAATCATATTCCAGAATTGACTATTTTTTGTTGGACTCCAAACTAATTTCAGCAGCTGCGTCGGTTATCAATCACCCGATTCTAATTACAGACCACTCTCCGCTGTCCATGGTGCTGAAACCTGACAATATATACAGTTGAAGTCGGAAGTTTACATACACCTTAGCCAAATACATTTAAACTCAGTTTTTCACAATTCCTGACATTTAATCCTAGTAAAAATTCCCTGTCTTAAGTCAGTTAGGATCACCACTTTATTTTAAGAATGTGAAATGTCAGAATAATACTAGAGAGAATGATTTATTTCAGCTTTTATTTCTTTCATCACATTCCCAGGGGGTCAGAAGTTTACATACACTCAATTAGTATTTGGTAGCATTGCCTTTCAATTGTTTAACTTGGGTCAAACGTTTCGGGTAGCCTTCCACAAGCTTCCCACAATAAGTTGGGTGAATTTTGGCCCATTCCTCCTGACAGAGCTGGTGTAACTGAGTCAGGTTTGTAGGCCTCCTTGCTCGCACACACTTTTTCAGTTCTGCCCACAAATGTTCTATAGGATTGAGGTCAGGGCTTTGTGATGGCCACTCCAATACCTTGACTTTGTTGTCCTTAAGCCATTTTGCCACAACTTTGGAAGTATGCTTGGGGTCAAGCTTTAACTTCCTGACTGATGTCTTGAGATGTTGCTTCAATATATCCACATCATTTTCCTTCCTCATGATACCATCTATTTTGTGAAGTGCACCAGTCCCTCCTGCAGCAAATCACCCCCACAGCATGATGCTGCCACCCCCGTGCTTCACGGTTGGGATGGTGTTCTTTGGCTTGCAAGCAACCCCCTTTTTGCTCCAAACATAACGATGGTCATTATGGCCAAACAGTTCTATTTTTGTTTCATCAGACCAGAGGACATTTCTCCAAAAAGTACGATCTTTGTCCCCATGTGCAGTCGCAAACCGTAGTCTGTCTTTTTTATGGCGGTTTTGGAGAAGTGGCTTCTTTCTTGCTGAGCGGCCTTTCAGGTTATGTCGATATAGGACTCATTTTACTGTGGATATAGATACGTTTGAACCTGTTTCCTCCAGCATCTTCACAAGGTCCTTTGCTGTTGTTCTGGGATTGTTTTGCACTTTTCACACCAAAGTACGTTCATCTCTAGGAGACAGAATGCGTCTCCTTCCTGAGCGGTATGACGGCTGCGTGGTCACAAGGTGTTTATACTTGCGTACTATTGTTTGTACAGATGAACGTGGTACCTTCAGGCATTTGGAAATTGCTCCCAAGGATGAACCAGACTTGTGGATGTCTACAATTTCTTTTCTGAGGTCTTGGCTGATTTCTTTTGATTTACCCATGATGTCAAGCAAAGAGGCACTGAGTTTGAAGGTAGGCCTTGAAATACAACCACAGGTAAACCTCCAATTCACTCAAATGATGTCAGTTCGCCTATCAGAAGCTTCTAAAGCCATGACATCATTTTCTGGAATTTTCCAAGCTGTTTAAAGGCACAGTCAACTTAGTGACCCACTGGAATTGTGATACAGTGAATTATAAGTGAAAATATTCTGTCAGTAAACAATTGTTGGAAAAATTACTTGTGTCATGCACAAGGTAGATGTCCTAACTGACTTGCCAAAATTATAGTTTGTTAACAAGACATTTGTGGAGTGGTTGAAACCTAAGTGTATGTAAACTTCCGACTTCAGCTGTATGTCTGCAGGTCGGCGACCGTGGTGCTTAGACGTATACTTGTTGAAAGATTATACTTTTTGTCAGTATTTGAAGGAGCAAAATGCTTTTTTCCTTGGAGCTAACGACACGGGGGATGTTAACCACTCTACCCTTTGGGAATCTCTCAAGGCTGTGATTAGAGATTACATTATTTCATATACAGTGAGGGAAAAAAGTATTTGATCCCCTGCTGATTTTGTACGTTTGCCCACTGACAAAGACATGATCAGTCTATAATTTTAATGGTAGGTTTATTTGAACAGTGAGAGACAGAATAACAACAAAAAAATCCAGAAAGACGCATGTCAAAAATGTTATAAATTGATTTGTATTTTGATGAGGGAAATAAGTATTTGACCCCTCTGCAAAACATGACTTAGTACTTGGTGGCAATACCCTTGTTGGCAATCACAGAGGTCAGCCGTTTCTTGTAGTTGGCCACCAGGTTTGCACACATCTCAGGAGGGATTTTGTTCCACTCCTCTTTGCAGATCTTCTCCAAGTCATTAAGGTTTTGAGGCTGACGTTTGGCAACTCGAACCTTCAGCTCCCTCCACAGATATTCTATGGGATTAAGGTCTGGAGACTGGCTAGGCCACTCCAGGACCTTAATGTGCTTCTTCTTGAGCCACTCCTTTGTTGCCTTGGCCGTGTGTTTTGGGTCATTGTCATGCTGGAATACCCATCCACGACCCATTTTCAATGCCCTGGCTGAGGGAAGGAGGTTCTCACCCAAGATTTGACGGTACATGGCCCCGTCCATCGTCCCTTTGATGCGGTGAAGTTGTCCTGTCCCCTTAGCAGAAAAACACCCCCAAAGCATAATGTTTCCACCTCTATGTTTGACGGTGGGGATGGTGTTCTTGGGGTCATAGGCAGCATTCCTCCTCCTCCAAACACAGCGAGTTGAGTTGATGCCAAAGAGCTCCATTTTCGTCTCATCTGACCACAACACTTTCACCCAGTTCTCCTCTGAATCATTCAGATGTTCATTGGCAAACTTCAGACGGGCCTGTATATGTGCTTTCTTGAGCAGGGGGACCTTGCGGGCACTGCAGGATTTCAGTCCTTCACAGCGTAGTGTGTTACCAATTGTTTTCTTGGTGACTATGGTCCCAGCTGCCTTGAGATCATTGACAAGATCCTCCCGTGTAGTTCTGGGCTGATTCCTCACCGTTCTCATGATCATTGCAACTCCACGAGGTGAGATCTTGCATGGAGCCCCAGGCCGAGGGAGATTGACAGTTATTTTGTGTTTCTTCCATTTGCGAATAATCGCACCAACTGTTGTCACCTTCTCACCAAGCTGCTTGGCGATGGTCTTGTAGCCCTTCCAGCCTTGTGTAGGTCTACAATCTTGTCCCTGACATCCTTGGAGAGCTCTTTGGTCTTGGCCATGGTGGAGAGTTTGGAATCTGATTGATTGATTGCTTCTGTGGACAGGTGTCTTTTATACAGGTAACAAGCTGAGATTAGGAGCACTCCCTTTAAGAGTGTGCTCCTAATCTCAGCTCGTTACCTGTATAAAAGACACCTGGGAGCCAGAAACTTTCTGATTGAGAGGGGGTCAAATACTTATTTCCCTCATTAAAATGCAAACATTTTTGACATGAGTTTTTCTGGATTTTTTTGTTGCTATTCTGTCTCTCACTGTTCAAATAAACCTACCATTAAAATTATAGACTGATCATTTATTTGTCAGTGGGCAAACGTACAAATTCCACAGGGGATCAAATACTTTTTTCCCTCACTGTACATCGGAGAGGAAGAAACACACCAATACAAAATTGAAAGAGTTAGGGGAACAGGAGAATAATTTTTTTGTCCATTAAAATAACATCAAATTGATCAGAAATACAGTGTAGACATTGTTAATGTTGTAAATGGCTATTATAGCAGGAAACGGCTGATTTTTAATGGAATATCTTCATAGGCGTACAGAGGCCCATTATCAGCAACCATCAGTCCTGTGTTCCAATGGCACGTTGTGTTTGCTAATCCAAGTTTATCATTAGAAAACCCTTTTGCAATTATGTTAGCACAGCTGAAAACTGTTGTGCTGATTAAAGAAGCAATAAAACTGGCCTTCTTGAGACTAGCTGAGTAACTGGAGCATCAGCAATTGTGGGTTCGATTACAGGCTCAAAATGGCCAGAAACAAATACATTTCTTCTGAAACTCGTCAGTCTATTCTTGTTCTGAGGAATGAAGGCTATTCCATGCGAGAAATTGCCAAGAAACTGAAGATCTCGTACAACGCTGTGTACTATTCCCTTCACAGAACAGCGCAAACTGGCTCTAACCAGAATAGAAAGAGGAGTGGGAGGCCCCGGTGCACAATTGAGCAAGAGGACAAATACATTACAGTGTTTAGTTTGAGAAACAGGCACCTCACAGGTCCTCGACTGGCAGCTTCATTAAATAGTACCCGCAAAACACGAGTCTCAACGTCAACAGTGAAGAGGCGACTCCGGGATGCTGACCTTCTAGGCAGAGTTGCAAAGAAAAAGCCATATCTCAGACTGCCCATCTTTAATCTTTTCTTTTTATTGGCCAGTCTGAGATATGGCTTTTTCTTTGCAACTCTGCCTAGAAGGTCAGCATCCTGGAGTCGCCGCTTCACTGTAGTGTACATTGACAGCCCAATTTGCCTGAATCATGCTTTACCACCCTGCATTGGATGATATGGTGTTTTCACAGTGGAGGGATAAGGGGCTCACAATAATCAGTAACTTATACATTGATGGTCATTTCGCTTCATTTCAACAATTACAGGGTAAGTTTAACATGCCAGCAACACATTTTTTCAGATACCTCCAAATCAGGAATTTCTTAAGGATACATATCCCACAGTATTGCATTAAGCCAAATAATCCTACATTAGATAACCTTATCCTTGTCAAACCCCATTCAAAACGGTCAGTCTCTAGACTTTATGATGTGCTACAGGCCCAAATAGAGGTATCCACAGACACTATTAAGAGGGCATGACAAAGCCTATTCCCCCTCAGGAGACTGAAAAGATTTGGTCCTCAGATCCTCAAAAAATTATACAGCTGCATCAGAGAGCATCCTGACTGGTTGCATCACTGCCTGGTATGGCAACTGCTTGGCCTCCGACCGCAAGACTCCAGCCACCCTAGTCCTAGACTGTTCTCTCTGCTACTGCACAGCAAGGGGTACCGGCGCGCCAAGTCTAGGTCCAAAAGGCTTCTTAACAGCTTCTACCCCCAAGCCATAAGACTCCTGAACAGCTAATGAAATGGCTACCTGGACTATTTGCCCCCCCCCACCATACACGCCACTATGGGTTTCTTCACTGTACCCAAACCAAAACAGATTTAATGCGTCGCTCAGTTATGTATAGAGCCATGTCATCATGGAATGCTCTGCCATCAGAGGTTACTCTGGAAAAAGAAAGTTTAGTTTTAAAAAACAGATAAAAAAACATATTGTATCAAAGTGCCTCTCCTCTTTCTAAAGATCTAATTTAACTGTACTGTATATAAGAATATGAATAGTGTGTAAATAGTATTGTTGTTTCCAATATATACTGTAACTCTTATTTTTATTTTGAATTTAATATAATATCTTATGTTGTTCTTGTCTATAACTGTTCTGTACTTTGTCATGTATTTGCCCGTTTTATGTGGGCCCCAGGAAGAGTAGCTGCTGCATATCCAGTCGATAATGGGGGATCTGTTTGAATACTTCCTTGAGGTTTCCTTGAGGTAAGCGTTGATCTAAAAGTGATTGGATAGGTGAAAGCAAGGTTACCACCCTGTTACTTTCACCAATTCAACCAAATCAGATCTGTGATTACTTCAAGGAAGGAAGGATGCATTTCTGAACTATTTGAACAGGGCCTATGGGTCTGCAGACTGTCCTGTACCTCGTAGACCTCCCTCTTCCTCTGGGTGGTCATAGAGGCCCCGGTGGGGTTTCCTCCATTGGGGATTGTGTAGAGGACCCTGGGTACGGTGCTGTGTGGCTTGTGGACGTCTGCTGGGTCCCAGCTGGACAGCACCTCCTTCAGGCCACTCGGGATCATACCGTGCTGATCACTGGGCACATTGATCAGGTTACATCCCAATGGCTGGAGCTTGGGACGGCGAACACAGTGTGTGTGTGAGGGTGTGTGAGAGTAAGTTACTGTAACTATTATTATCATCATTATTGCATTGCTGTTGTTGCTATTATTATCTGTCACATTTTGATTTAGCAACAGTGGCCTTGCCATTCATGCTAATAAAGCTTTTCTGAGTAAGTGAGAGACAGAGAGAGAAAGTGATTATGTATGTGTATATCTGTGGTTGGGAGTAGAGTTTCTTACTGCAGCGAGAGTTCCAGAGTACGTGGGTGCGTCCAGAAGAACGTTATCTCCGGGATTTACAAGCATTTCAAACACCTGCCAAAACATGGAGAAAAGTAGTAGAGAGGGTGAGAATAGGACAGACTCATGATCACCATCATCACCGGATCATTAGTGACAGTCATACCTAACTTACCTTTCTTGCACTTCTCTCTTCTGCTTTATTAAGGAAAGTTTTACTTACTATGACTGTGATACAGTGAGGGAAAAAAGTATTTGATCCCCTGCTGGTTTTGTACGTTTGCCCACTGACAAAGAAATGATCAGTCTAATTTTAATGGTAGGTTTATTTGAACAGTGAGAGACAGAATAACAACAAAATAATCCAGAAAAACGCATGTAAAAAATGTTAAATTGATTTGCATTTTAATGAGGGAAATAAGTATTTAACCACCTCTCAATCAGAAAGATTTCTGGCTCCCAGGTGTCTTTTATACAGGTAACGAGCTGAGATTAGGAGCACACTCTAAAAAGGGAGTGCTCCTAATCTCAGCTTGTTACCTGTATAAAAGACACCTGTCCACAGAAGCAATCAATCAATCAGATTCCAAACTCTCCACCATGGCCAAGACCAAAGAGCTCTCCAAGGATGTCAGGGACAAGATTGTAGACCTACACAAGGCTGGAATGGGCTACAAGACCATCGCCAAGCAGCTTGGTGAGAAGGTGACAACAGTTGGTGCGATTATTCTCAAATGGAAGAAACACAAAAGAACTGTCAATCTCCCTCGGCCTGGGGCTCCATGCAAGATCTCATCTCGTGGAGTTGCAATGATCATGAAAACGGTGAGGAATCAGCCCAGAACTACACGGGAGGATCTTGTCAATGATCTCAAGGCAGCTGGGACCATAGTCACCAAAAAAACAATTGGTAACACACTACGCCGTGAAGGACTGAAATCCTGCAGCGCCCGCAAGGTCCCCCTGCTCAAGAAAGCACATATACATGCCCGTCGGAAGTTTGCCAGTGAATATCTGAATGATTCAGAGGAGAACTGGGTGAAAGTGTTGTGGTCAGATGAGACCAAAATGGAGCTCTTTGGCATTAACTCAACTCGCCGTGTTTGGAGGAGGTGGAATGCTGCCTATGACCCCAAGAACACCATCCCCACCGTCAAACATGGAGGTGGAAACATTATGCTTTGGGGGTGTTTTTCTGCTAAGGGGACAGGACAACTTCACCGCATCAAAGGGACGATGGACGGGGCCATGTACCGTCAAATCTTGAGTGAGAACCTCCTTTGGTCGTGGATGGGTATTCCAGCATGACAATGACCCAAAACACACGGGCCAAGGCAACAAAGGAGTGGCTCAAGAAGAAGCACATTAAGGTCCTGGAGTGGCCTAGCCAGTCTCCAGACCTTAATCTCATAGAAAATCTGTGGAGGGAGCTGAAGGGTCGAGTTGCCAAACATCAGCCTCGAAACCATAATGACTTGGAGAAGATCTGCAAAGAGGAGTGGGACAAAATCCCTCCTGAGATGTGTGCAAACCTGGTGGCCAACTACAAGAAACGTCTGACCTCTGTGATTACCAACAAGGGTTTTGCCACCAAGTACTAAGTCATGTTTTGCAGAGGGGTCAAATACTTATTTCCCTCATTAAAATGCAAATCAATTTATAACATTTTTGACATGCGTTTTTCTGGATTATTTTGTTGTTATTCTGTCTCTCAATGTTCAAATAAACCTACCATTAAAATTATAGACTGATCATTTCTTTGTAAGTGGGCAAACGTACAAAATCAGCAGGGGATCAAATACTTTTTTCCCTCACTGTATGTGGTTGTCGGACCTAGCTATTTTAAGATTAATACACTAACTGTAAGTCGCTCTTGATTAAGGCGTCTGCTGTATGACTAAAATGTCAATATAATACCTTGCAGAGGCCCTCCTGGCTCCCTGTAGTAACACACATGTCCATCTGGCCCATCTCAGCACTGTAGTTGGCTGTAGGAGGGTTGTGAAGGTTCTTCTGCAGGTTCTTCATCCAAGTCAACAGCTCTGGGATTCTATACAGGGTAGATAAGGCCTAAATTAAACTTTCCATTCATAGGGGTGAATCCAAACTTTAGTTGAACTTTCACTTAGTCATACATTGATGTCCATGCGAGACTAAGTGAACATATTGACTTAAGTGGAATTTCAGATTTGCCTCATACTGAATAACCTGCAGTTACAAAACATCACCTTATCTTTACCTCACCCTACTTTATCTCACCTTAACCTCATCTTATTTCGAAGGAAACTTGTATTTTTAAGCAAGAAATAGACCTAATCGTTAATAATCAAACCTGAATAGCAGCCACGGTATGTCGTAATAACATTTTCGGTTTTGACATCCAGTGAAACGTTAATCCTAGTGTGCGTAATACGGTGTCTTTTGGGAAGCAGCCTTGGCTTTATCGCCCTGTTAACTCTTATCAGAAGTGATTAAACCAATGCTGTGGCAAGCAAAGCAGTGGTTGAGAGCACACACACGGGTTGAGAGCTCTACAGACTAATATGAGTCACTATTGACTATTTAGACAGTTGTAAATCTAAGAAGATAAGATAAGAAGCTGTTAAGAGATAACCTTCTACCACTCCCATTAACTAGCATAGGTGTCATGTTGTTCTAACCGTTTCAATAAACAGCGTTGAACAGTTCAAACACCTCATAATAAAACGTGTTCAAACTGTTCATTTGCGCATGATTCTACATTCTAAACTCCTGACCATGCGAATTGTACAGTATGTTAGAGCTAGTCATGCACATTGTGTCATGGAGAGCTTATTGAGGCTGTCCTTGTTGACTCTTCCATATCATGCTCTGAAGAAGCTTCCACAGACTTTTGAACGAATACCCCTTTTTGTGGGCTAAAAGAGATGCTACTTCACAATAAACAACGGCTGTGTCCAAAATAGCACAGATTCCCTATAAAAGGTAGTGCACTACACTGAGTGTACAAAACATCTTTCCATGACATAGACTGACCAGGTGAATCCAGGTTAAAGCTACGATCCCTTATTGAAATCACTTGTTAAATCCACTTCAATCAGTGTAGATGAAGGGGAGGAGACAGGTTAAAGAAGGATTTTTAAGCCTTGAGAGAATTGAGACATGGATTGTGTATGTGTCCCATTCAGAGGGTGAATGGGCAAGACAAAATATTTAAGTGCCTTTGAACCGGGTATGGTAGTAGGTGCCAGGCGCACCGGTTTGAGTGTGTCAAGAACTGCAACGCTGCTGGGTTTTTCACGCGCAACAGTTTCCGTGTGTGTCAAGAATGGTCCACCATCCAAAGGACACCCAGCCAACTTGACACAACTGTGGGAAGCATTGAAGTCAACATGGGCCAGCATCGCTGTGGAACGCTTTCAACACCTTGTAGAGTCCATGCCCCGACAAATTGAGGCTGTTCTGAGGGCAAAAGGGGGTGCAACTCAATATTAGGAAGGTGTTCCTAAGGTTTCTCAGTGCATTCGGAAAGTATTCAGACCCCTTGACTTTTTCCACATTTTGTTATGTTACAGCCTTTTCTAAAATAAGGATACAATTATTTTTTTCTTAATCTACACACAATACCCCATAATGACAAAGCGAAAACTGTTTTTTATAAATGTTTACTAATTTCTGAAAACATAAAAAAACATATAAAAGTATATACATTTACATTTACATTTTAGTCATTTAGCAGACGCTCTTATCCAGAGCGACTTACAGTTAGTGAATACATATTATTATTCATACTGGCCCCCCCGTGGAAATCGAACCCACAACCCTGGCGTTGCAAACGCCATGCTCTATCAACTGAGCTACATCCCTGCCGGCCATTCCCTCCCCTACCCTGGACGACGCTGGGCCAATTGTGCGCCGCCCATGAGTCTCCTGGTCGCGGCCGGCTGCGACAGAGCCTGGATATACAGTGCATCTGGAAAGTATTCAGACCCCTTGACTTTTTCCACATTTTGTTACATTCCAGCTTTATTCTAAAATTGATCAAATAAAACAATTTCCTCATGAATCTATACACAATACCCCATAATGATAAAGCAAAAACAGTTTTTTTTAAATATACCTTATTTACATAAGTATTCAGACCCTTTGCTATGAGTCTCGAAATTGAGCTCAGATGCATCCTGTTTCCATTGATCATCCTTGTGATGTTTCTACAACTTGATTGGAGTCCACCTGTGGTAAATTAAATTGATTGGACATGATTTGGAAAGGCGCACACCGGTTTATATAAGGTCCCACAGACAGACCAAAAACCAAGCCATGAGGTCCAAGGAATTGTCCGTAGAGGTCCGAAACAGGATTGTGTCGAGGCAGAGATCTGGGGAAGGGTACCAAAACATTTCTGCAGCATTGAAGGTCCCCAAGAACACAGTGGCCTCCATCATTCTTAAATGGAAGAAGTTTGGAACCACCAAGACTCTTCCTAGAGCTGGCCGCCCGGCCAAACTGAGCAATCGGGGGAGAAGGGCCTTGGTCAGGGAGGTGACCAAGAACCCGATGGTCACTCTGACAGAGCTCCAGAGTTCCTCTGTGGAGAAGCACAACCATCTCTACAGCACTCCACCAATCAGGCATTTATGGTAGAGTGGCCAGATGGCAGCCACTCCTCAGTAAAAGGCACATGACAGCCCGCTTGGAGTTTGCCAAAAGGCACCTAAAGACTCTCAGACCATGAGAAACAAGATTCTCTGGTCTGATGAAACCAAGATTGAACTCTTTGGCCTGAATGCCAAGCGTCATGTCTGAAGGAAACCTGGCACCATACCTACGGTGAAGCATTGTGGTGGCAGCGTCATGCTGTGGGGATGTTTTTCAGAGGCAGGGACTGGGAGACTAGTCAGGATCGAGGGAAAGATGAACGGAGCAAAGTACAGAGAGATCCTTGATGAGAACCTGCTCCAGAGTGCTCAGGACCTCAGACTGCGGTGAAGGTTCACCTTCCAACAGGACAACGACCCTAAGCACACAGTCAAGACAACGCAGGAGTGGCTTCGGGACAAGTCTCTGAATGTCCTTGAGTGGCCCAGCCAGAGCCCGGACTTGAACCCGATCGAACATCTCTGGAGACCTTAAAATAGCTGTGCAGCGACGCTCCCCATCCAACCTGACAGAGCTTGAGAGAATCTGCAGAGAAGAATGGGAGAAACTCCCCAAATACAGGTGTGCCAAGCTTGTAGTGTCATACCCAAGAAGCCTTGAGGCTGTAATCACTGCCAAAGGTGCTTCAACAAAGTACTGAGTAAAGGGTCTGAACACTTATGTAAATTTTAATTTTAATTTTTAATACATTTGCAAAAATGTCTAAAAACCTGTTTTTGCTTTGTCATTATGGGGTATCGTGTGTAGATTGATAGGGGAAAAAAACAATTTAATCCATTTTAGAATAAGTCTGTAACATAACAACATTTGGAAAAAGTCAAGGGGTCTGAATACTTTCCGAATGCACTGTATATAGTAAATAGGGTGCCATTTTGGACGGAACCAATGTCTTGTCAGTCACTGACTCACCCGCTGGAGGCAGAGTACTGCAGAGCCCTCTTCATCATGGTCTCGTCGAAGGTGAGCGTATCCCCGTTCTTCACCTGGATGGAGCAGGCCTGGAAGGGGAAAGTGTTGGGGTTGGGAGCCCCTCCAGCCAAGGAGATCATGGAGGGGGGTGACCTCTGCTGGAGCTCAGCTTGGGGGTGGAGGGGGGGGGGGGGGGGGCAAGATAGGTAGGTTACACATAACAATGAAATTACAATATCTGAAAACGTACAAATAAATAAAATACTACAGAGAAATTCCAGATGGCAAAACACAGAATAGAACGATATGGAATAGAGCTCTACAACCATGACGACTTACTCAACATTCGAATAGCAGAGGGCTTCCGAGCTGCACTGACAGCTGTCAAAAACCGAGCGTAGTTCATGGCTGCGGTAAAATCACCTTCTAACAATCAGCACTGACAGAGCAAGCTTGCCTGTGGTGTGTCAATAGCACCTCCTGGGGAATATAGATATACAATGTGACAGTGCATGAATGTAAACAACAACACAACATGACCTCATGTCGCATGATGACACATGGATAGTTGTGGATTCACTTGCCTACTAAATACTAATGCAATGTTGATTGTTGGGTCAAGTTACAACAATGGAAATACTGTCCATCCACCAATGTGAAAATCACCTCACTATTAACTTGTCTTTATCATGGTATAATGATGTGATGCATTCATTAGACAATGTTTAGTTTAAGTGTGATATCTTTGGCACTTACTATACAGCCCCAAGGTCCGCCAGAGGACGCTATTATTCCTGACGTCGTTTGATTTAAAGACGTCAGGAATAATAGCGCCCTCTGCTGGACCTTGGGTCTAGCTATTATGTTGTCCTGCTTCTGCCATATGGCAGCACTGAAGTGGATTATCGTGCACGAAAGGCGAAACGAATATAGGAACAAGTAGCAACATATGCACGGAGTTAGACTGAAATACAGTGCACACAAATCTTAACACAGGAATACACTTCAGAAGATCAACAACCGATTAATGTTACAACCACGTTTGTTTCATGACTGACCTTGCGTATCTTGCACTCAAGCGTACAGTGGCCGCCGCTGGATAATGTATTTTTCCACATGCCAATAGTCCACACCAGTGGCGGGTGTGTGGACTACATTACCCAGGTATCAAAATATTATAGCATTTTGAGATTAGTAATTATCTGTAAATCAACTAACTGCAGAAATCTAAACATATATAATTCCCCCAAGTCCACAATAATAAAATCGTAACAAATTATCCCAGGCAATATATGAATGAATCGGATCAATCGAACAGTCGAGAAGTCAAGTCTAGACTGTACTTCCACCGCCGCAGCGGTAGGTAGCAGAAGCGTACCCGTATCCACATACATAATCGTATTCGAAGCCGCAAGGAAAAGTCTATCTCGTTAGCTATTTGTTTTGATTTCTCTGTCTTGTGTATTTTCAAATGACTCTGCCTTACAAGCATTACTGCCCCCTTTATACGAACAACAAGGAAATGCATTGAAGGAAAGCAGCTTCATCCTCACCTTGGTTCGTGAGCAACTAATTTATCTAAAGGACAGCCAGCTAACTTAGCTAATTATTTCAGCTAGCTACTGTAGCTAAGTTAGCTAGTCAGTTGTATTTTGTCAAGCGACAGCAAATGTTGGGCTTGCAAATGCGTTATCAAAGTATACTGTTTCCTACCTACCACGCTATCAAATCGTGTGACAATTCTCGAGTAGGTTGCTCGTCCCGTGATAGTAATGAGAACTAGATGGCTAGCTAACACATTCATTGTGTTTACCTAACTAGCTGCTGCTAACGACTCTTCCGCATACAGAGCAAGGCCAACTTGCTAGGATGTAGACTGGCAGAACCCATTTTCTGGTTTTGATTGATATATACAGTCGTTTCAATGGGGAAAAGGAAAGACATGATCCACCCAAGGTTTCTTTTAGGTGAGTTGTTTGTTTATTGTTGATCTTATGCTCCCATGTCTCAAGCATGGTTGTGAATTGAAGATTTTACACCATCATATTGACTACTAGACATAAGACACATTATGAAGTGTCCAGAAGGCACTAGACATTATTTTGAGACATACATGGCAACATAATAATATATGCCATTTAGCAGACACTTTTATCCAAAGCGACTAACATTCAGTCATGCATGCAGATGGCTGGCCCCAACGTTAATCAAACCTGGTGTTCCAAGCACCATACTCTACCAACTGAACCCATAACAACACTATACACTACCAAATAGGCCTGACTTTGTTTATCTACATCTTGTTTGTATCTCTATTCGTTGTCTGTTACTACAGGTGATGGAGACCACCTGGGGTTACACAGCCTCCATAGGAGGAAACACAAAAAGCACAAGAAGTACAAGAAGAAGCATCACCGTGATGAGGGGCACAGCTCCTACTCTGAGGCCCTGGAGTCAGACTCTGGGATTGTGGTCAAGCCCCCCACACAGCTCAGACTCAAGATCAAACTGGGAGGGGAAACACTGGGGACAAAGAGGTGAGACCTCGCTGCCATTTTGATAGTCTCGCTTGGCAGACTTTTTTTGCGCTCCATCCCTTTATCTATGATATGACATACATATTATTTTCAGCCTTCGTTTCATTTCAGGACTGGGTTTTATTTGAATGTTACCACCCACCAGCATGGCATTGTTAATTAATCAGAAACAGCTGCAAAGTTTTTCCACTTAGACTGAGACGATTCAAACAGCCTTGTGTCCACTTGTCTCCTTAGCCATGGAGAAAACAACCATACGTATGTTTTTTCACCTCCACTTTTTACATTTTACCAGAAAAGTATCATAATCCATTGGATAATTAGTCAATTTTCACTTAGTATTTTATAAATGGTATAATTGCGTTTAATGATAGCATTTAGCAAACCAGCTCCCCCCGTGGCACCAAGATGAATGGTTTTGACCACAAAAGTTTTGCTACGCTCCAACTTCCTCTGGATGGTCCTTTAAACGTATGGGTTGTTGTTCTCTCTCCTTCTTCTTTTCTCGTGAACCAGTGTGCCAACGTTCACGGTGGTCCCTGGTGTAGCCCGCGCCCAGTCTCCTCTGATGATCGTCGATGACGATGACGACTCTGATGATGACGATGATAAACCTTCCGAGGGCGTTCCACTTGAGCAGTACCGGGCCTGGCTTGGTGAGTGCAAAGGTCTGTCTCTTACACTCATCATGTCCACTCATGTTCAATATAAAAGTAATTACGTGCTTAATGTGATTTATTTACTATACATACTCCATATACAGAGCATTCGGAAAGTATTCAGACCCCTTGACTTTCTCCACATTTTGTTACGTTACAGCCTTATTCTAAAATGGATTTTTCCGCCCTCATCAATCTACACACAATACCCCATAATGACAAAGCAGAAACAGGTTTTTAGACATTTTTGCAAATGTATTAAAAATAAAAACGGAAATATCACATTTACATAAGTATTCAGACCCTTTACTCAGTACTTTGTTGAAGCACCTTTGGCAGCAATTACAGACTTGTGTCTTCTTGGGTATGACGCTACAAGCTTGGCACACCTGTATTTGGGGATTTTCTCCCATTCTTCTCTGCAGATCCTCTCAAGCTCTGTCAGGTTGGATGGGGAGCGTTGGTGCACAGCTATATTCAGGTCTCTCTAGAGATGTTCAATCGGGTTCAAGTCCGGCCTCTGGCTGGGCCACTCAAGGACATTCAGAGACTTGTGCCGAAGCCACTCCTGTGTTGTCTTGGCTGTGTGCTTAGGATCGTTGTCCTGTTGGAAGGGGAACCTTCGCCCCAGTCTGAGGTCCTGAGCGCTCTAGAGCAGGTTTTCATCAATGATCTCTCTGTACTTGCGTCGTTCATCTTTCCTACGATCCTGACTAGTCTCCTAGTCCATGCCGCTGAAAAACATCCCCACAGCATGATGCTGCCACCACCATGCTTCACTGTAGGGATGGTGCCAGGTTTCCTCCAGACGTGACGCTTGGCATTCAGGCCAAAGAGTTCAATCTTGGTTTCATCAGACCAGAGAATCTTGTTTCTCATGGTCTGAGAGTCCTTTAGGTGCCTTTTGGCAAACTCCAAGCGGGCTGTCATGTGCCTTTTACTGAGGAGTGGCTTCCGTCTGTCCACTCTACCATAAAGGCCTGATTGGTGGAGTGCTGCAGAGATGGTTGTCCTTCTGGAAGGTTCTCCCATCTCCACAGAGGAACTCTGGAGCTATGTCAGAGTGACAATTAGGTCCTTGGTCACCTCCCTGACCAAGGCCCTTCTCCCCCGATTGCTCAGTTTGGCCAGGCGGCCAGCTCTAGGAAGAGTCTTGGTGGTTCCAAACTTCTTCCATTTAAGAATGACGGAGGCCACTGTGTTCTTGGGGACCTTCAATGCTGCAGAAATCTTTTGGTACCCTTCCCCAAATATATGCCACATCACTATTGTATCGCAGAGATCTACGGACAGTTCCTTGGACTTCATTGTATAGTTTCTGCTCTGACAAGCACTGTCAACTGTGGGATCTTCTATAGACAGGTGTGTTTCTTTCTAAGTCATGTCCAAACAATTAAATTGGCCATAGGTGGACTCCAATCAAGTTGTAGCGACATCTCAAGGATGATCAAAGGAAATGGGATGCACCTGAGCTCAATTTGGAGTGTCATAGCAAAGGGGTGTGAATACTTATGTAAATTACATATTTCTGTATTTATTTTCAATAAATGTGCATACATTTCTAAAAACATGTTTTCACTTTGTCATTATGGGGTATTGTGTGTAGATGGGTGGGAAACACATCTATTTAATCCATTTTGAATTTAGGCTGTAACCCAACAAAATGTGGAATAAGTCAAGGGGTATGAATACTTTCTGAAGGCACTGCACAAGGCAAACGTTTAATGTAATTTCAGTGAGCCTGTTTCTATCTTTGGCAAACATCAAGTGTGTGAATGAAAAGGCACACTATTCCCTATATAGTGTACTACTTTTGACCAGAGCCCTGGTAGTGCACGGAATGCAGAATAGGGTGCCATTTTGGATCATAGCCATGTCTTTTTAATATCATTCTTTCTGTTCCCTGCCTCTAGATGAGGACAGTAACCTGGACCCGTCTCCTCTGCCAGACATGGACTCAGACTCCCTGGGTAAGCCGGTGGACGAGGAGGAGAAGTGGCTGGACGCCCTGGAGAAAGGAGAGCTGGATGACAACGGAGAGCTGAAGAAGGAGATCGATGAGTCCCTGCTCACAGCCAGACAGGTAATGTAACAGAGAGCAGGCCCCAGACTAGTCTGTCATATCAGAGTAGAGATGACTTTCACTTGACCACGTGGCTTGACCCTGGGAATTTTTCCAGGCCAGGTCACAATGTGATCTGAGAAATGACTATTAGGGGAAGAAAAATCCCACCCAAAAACGGTCATTTGGTATTTGTTTCATTAGTCCATTGTTGATATAGTCAGCAATCAAGTTGAAGATATATAACTTTCAGAATACATAAATATATTAACTTGAGTGATGACATGCAAAACACATTGTAGAATAATAGTGAAGACATCAAAACTATGAAATAACACATATGGAATTATGTAGTAACCAAAAAAGTGTTAAACAAATCAAAATATATTTAATATTTGAGATTCTTCAAATAGCCACCCTTTGCCTTGATGACAGCTTTGCACACTCTTGGCATTCTCTCAACCAGCTTCACCTGGAATGCTTTTCCAACAGTCTTGAAGGAGTTCCAACATATGCTGAGCACTTGTTGGCTGCTTTTCCTTCACTCTGCGGTCCAACTCATCCCAAACCATTTCAATTTGGTTGAGGTCGGGGGATTGTGGAGGCCAGGTCATCTGATGGGCTCCTGAGTGGCGCAGTGGTCTAAGGCACTGCATCGCAGTGCTAACTGTGCCCCTAGAGATCCTGGTTCGAATCCAGGCTCTGTCGCAGCCGGCCGCGACCGGGAGACTCATGGGCGGCGCACAATTGGCCCAGCGTTGTCCAGGGTAGGGGAGGGAATGGCCGGCAGGGATGTAGCTCAGTTGATAGAGCATGGCGTTTGCAACGCCAGGGTTGTGGGTTCGATTCCCACGGGGGGCCAGTAAAAAATAAAATAAAAAATGTATTCACTAACTGTAAGTCGCTCTGGATAAGAGCGTCTGCTAAATGGCTAAAATGTAAAAATGTAAATGTAATGCAGCACTCCATCACTCTCCTTCCTGGAGGTGTGTTGGGTCATTGTCCTGTTGAAAAACAAATGATAGTCCCACTAAGCCCAAACCAGATGGGATGGCGTATCGCTGCAGAATGCTGTGATAGCCATGCTGGTTAAGTGTGCCTTGAATTCTAAATAAATCACAGACAGTGTCATCAGCAAAGCACCCCCACACCATAACACCTCCTCCATGCTTTACGGTGGGAAACACACATGCAGAGATCATCCGTTCACCCACATCGCGTCTCACAAAGACACAGCAGTTGAAACCAACTTATCCTCTGCAGCAGAGGTAACTCTGGGTCTTCCTTTCCTGTGGCGGTCCTCATGAGAGCCAGTTTCATCATAGTGCTTGATGGTTTTTGCGACTGCACTTGAAGAAACTTTCAAAGTTCTTAAAATGTTCTGTATTGACCTACCTTCATGTCTTAAAGTAATGATGGACTGTTGTTTCTCTTTGCTTATTTGAGCTGTTCTTGCCATAATATGGACTTGGTCTTTTACCAAGTAGGGCTATCTTCTGTATACCCCCCTACCTTGTCACAACACAACTGATTGGCTCAAACGCATTAAGAAGGAAAGAAATTCCACAAATTAACTTTTAAGAAGGCACACCTGTTAATTGAAATGCATTCCAGGTGACTACCTCATGAAGCTGATTGAGAGACTGCCAATAGTGTGCAAAGCTGTCATCAAGGCAAAGGGTGGCTATTTGAAGAATCTCAAATATAAAATATATTTTGATTTGTTTAACAATTTGCTGGTTGCTAAATGATTCCATTTGTGTTATTTCATAGTTTTGATATCTTCACTATTATTCTACAATGTAGAAAATAGTAAAAATAAAGAAAAACCCTTGAATGAGTCGGTGTTCTAAAACTTTTGACCGGTAGTGTATATCAACAATGAAACAAATACCAAACATTTCCGGGTGGTTTTCCTTTAATATCTTGGAAGATTACAGAAATGCCTCAAATATCCAGGCTCTGTCGTAGCCGGCCGCGACCGGGAGACCCATGGGGCGGCGCACAATTGGCCCAGCATCGTCCAGGGTAGGGGAGGGAATGGCCGGCAGGGATGTAGCTCAGTTGGTAGAGCATGGCGTTTGCAACGCCAGGGTTGTGGGTTCGATTCCCACGGGGGGCCAGTATGAAAAAAGAAATAAAAAATGTATGAACTCACTAACTGTAAGTCGCTCTGGATAAGAGCGTCTGCTAAATGACTAAAATGTAAAAAAATGTAAATGTAACGCTTTAGGTCTACTTCATACTGTACCTGACTGGTTGTGTGTGTTTCTGCCTTACAGAAAGCCCTCATGCACAAGCAGCAGAACTATCCTGTCCTGGAGCTGCCCATGGGCTACAAGGAGAAGGAGATGACCGCCGAGATGATGCAGAAGAGAGAGGAGCGCGCCCGCAAGAGGCGCCTGCAGGCGGCCAAGAAGGCAGAGGAGAACAAGAACCAGACCATCGAGAGGCTCACCAAGACCTCCAAGGCCAAGATCAAGGGTATGAGGGAGCGTAAGTCCAAGCAGGCCCAGTGTCCCATGGTCCGCTACTGTGACTCGGCCCAAGGAATGGGGATTTCGTTCCCCACAGGCGTGCTTGCCCCGACCCCTGCTTCCCTGTGCCCCCCGCCCCTGGCACCAGTAGGCTGCGGGATAAACGGGTGCAGTAATCTGAAGAGGTACTCATGCTCCAAGACTGGGATCCCTCTCTGTAGTCTGGACTGCTACAAGAAGAATCTGGTCCTTGTTGTGGAGAGTGCCGCTTGAATTTGACCGCTTTCGAAGGTTTCAGCTTGCTGGCAGTTCACACTCTGGGGCTAAATCCATGGACAATGTGGGTGTTCTTTTTTATTTTGACAGATTCTAAAAAGGCATTTTTCTGTTTTTTTCTCTTTGAGTGATGTCATGAAAGTGGTCATTTCAGAATTATGTATACTTACAAAAGAGATGAGTTCAAATCAATGCATCAGTCAGTCAATTTAGCCCTGATAGTAAGATAACATAATGGAGGCTACAGACACATCAGGCCCTATCAGACGGCATGTATTTATTTCATTTCTAGATCCTCAGTTTGTGGAGGTCCACAAAATGTAGATTGAATAGGAATTTAACAAGGCAAGCTTATTTTTGTAACAGCAGGACTGAAATAACAGAGCGCTCTGTTTGCCTGATGATCATGAAGGACTTTCATTTGTATAAATATATGAATGGTTTTGTATACATTTTGGCAAGCAGAAGCCGTGACGCATAACAGCAGTAACATGTTACAGCAACATGTTTCTTTGTTTGATAAATTGAGAAAATGACCCCCAGGAAACCAAAATAAGTTTATTCTTTTAGTTGTCACAAATGTGTATTTGTATCACAAATTATTCCATTTCCATACAAAATACTGTACATCTTAAATAAAATATCAAAACACATTTATCTTCCTCCAAAACAGCACATAGGAATAGAACTCCACCTAAGGCTGCGTTGCCATGCCAATGTGGAGAGGATAACAGGCAAGAACAGTCATATTATTTGGTCAGTGCTGTCCGGGAACCTTGGGACGTCCCTAACCTTAACCCTTACCGTTTTACATTTCAACTTCAATGGGGTGATGTAAGAGTTGGTACGTCCCAAGGACGCCGTTTAGACTTTTCCCATATTATTTGGTCAGGCACACTTTAGCTAACAGGAATGTCAGAACTACAGAACTAGAATGAGACTATTGTTATGGCCAGAACAGCAGCAAAATGCTTTCCCTGTAAACTCACATCTGCCCTTTACAAAAATAAAATCCAGCACGTTTTCTGAGGTATTAATACTGAGTTTAGTTGCTTGTCCTTCCACACACTCAGTCAAAATCTATTCATTACATAAGGAGCAGGGCGCAATTTTGGACACAACATAATTGCATCTTGTAAACCCAGGGCTTTGTTTAGTATGCAAGCGTAGTGGGACGTTACAGATAGAAATGTCATGAATAGAGCTGACGTGATTCCTTATTCCACATGTCAGAGTGGCATGTTTGTTCTACATAACATATTTCTATCTGAATGCAGTCCTGCTGTTCCACTGGAGCTGATCCAAGGCTAACCGAGAACAACCTTGGTCTGTGAGGTTTCCTTTTATCTGCTGTCAGGTGATCAAGGCACAAGAGGGTGTCTTAGTTCCCAGAATATCTCAGACCGACAGTAAGCAGGCATTGAGGTCAACTATGAAACCTTTAAGACCAGGGTTGTGTTCATTAGGGCAAACCGTAGCAAAATATTTTGTGATGGAAAACATGAACAAGCGATTCTTATTGGAGTTCAGGTACTCCCTCCCTGTTCAAGTCTGTTTTCTACCGTTTGGTGCCTAATGAACAGGACCCAGGGTTGTGCTCTGCTGTTGTCTGTCGATAGGTAGTAGTGTTATCAGAGTTCATAAGAGACTGTTGTCAGATGGCTCGTCACAAGGCCAGGCCGAAAGACAGGCGGAAGGCCATCTCCACGGGAACCTCTGCCACGGAGTCATGGAAACACACGTAGAATTCCTGAGGGACAGGTTCTAGAAGCATCCGGCTGGAACACAGACAACAGAGGAGGGAAATGGCAGTGTGTGTTTCAAGCTAGAGTATAGGCAGGATGTATAATTGCTGAGTGACAAAGAAGGACTAAATCAAACAAAATGTACTAGAAGTCAGGAGAGTAGACAATACCGCAGCAACACCTTGATAAATGGACATCTCTATGCCCAGTATATGTCTGAATTTCACAGTAAGCCAGAGCCCAGCTGTTACATGGTAGTCTGCTATTCCCAGCCTCTCACTCAAAGTTAACTCCAAGTGGTTTACTTTCCATTTCTGTACTTGACCACCCAGACAGACCTCTCGCTTTCTGAGTGCACACACACCTCTGAAACCCAGGAGCACGTCCAAAAGCAACAGTCGAGACATCCCAAAGTGCCATCAGTCATTACTACAAGTACAGCCATTCTCCCTAGCCTACATTCAACCCCCCTAGAATATATAATTCATAACACTGTATACAGAGGCAAGATAAATATCATAATTCTTAGGAGACTCAATCATAAGGTAAGCACAGACAAACAGTACCAGTCAAAAGTTTGGAAACCTACTCATTCAAGGGTTTTTCTTTATTTTTACTCTTTTCTACTTTGTAGAATAATAGTGAAGACATCAAAACTATGAAATAACACATATTGAATCAAGTAGTAACCAAAAAGGTGTTAAACAAATCAAAATCTATTTTATATTTGAGATTCTTCAAAGTAGCCACCCTTTGCCTTGACATCTTTGCACACTCTTGGCATTCTCTCAACCAGCTTCACCTGGAATGCTTTTCCAACAGTCTTGAAGGAGTTCCCACATATGCTGAGCACTTGTTGGCTGCTTTTCCTTCACTCTGCGGTCTGATTCATCCCAAACCATCTCAATTGGATTGTGGTCGGGGGATTGTGGAGGCCAGGTCATCTGATGCAACACTCCATCACGCTCCTTCCTGGAGATGTGTTGGGTTATTGTCCTGTTGAAAAACAAATGATAGTCCCACTAAGCCCAAACCAGATGGGATGGCGTTTCGCTGCAGAATGCTGTGGTAGCCATGCTGGTTAAGTGTGCCTTGAATTCTAAATAAATCACAGTGTCACCAGCAAAGCACTCCCACACCATAACACCTCCTCCTCCATGCTTTACAGTGGGAACTACACATGCAGAGATCATCCGTTCACCCAAACCCCGTCTCACAAAGACAATTTGGACTCCAGACCAAATGACACATTTCCACCGGTCTAATGTCCATTGCTCGTGTTTCTTGGCCCAAGCAGGTCTCTTCTTATTATTGGTGTCCTTTAGTAGTGGTTTCCTTGCAGCAATTCGACCATGAAGGCCTGATTCACACAGTCCCCTCTGAACAGTTGATGTTGAGATGTGTGTGACTTGAACTCTATGAAGCATTTATTTGGCCTGCAATTTCTGAGGCTGGTAACTCTAATGAACTTATCCTCTGCAGCAAAGGTAACTCTGGGTCTTCCATTCCTGTGGTGGTCCTCATGACAGCCAGTTTCATCATAGTGCTTGATGGTTTTTGTGACTGCACTTGAAGAAACGTTCAAAGTTCTTGAAATGTTCCGTATTGACTGACCTTCATGTCTTTAAAGTAATGATGGACTGTTGTTTCTCTTTGCTTATTTGAGCTGTTCTTGCTATAATATGGACTTGGTCTTTTACCAAATAGGGCTATCTTCTGTATACCCCCCCTACCTTGTCACAACACAACTGATTGGCTCAAAGGCATTAAGAAGGAAAGAAATTCCACAAATTAACTTTAAGAAGGCACACCTGTTAATTGAAATGCGTTCCAGGTGACTACCTCATGAAGATGGTTGAGAGAATGCCAAGAGTGTGCAAAGCTGTCATCAAGGCAAAGGGTGGCCATTTGAAGAATCTCAAATTTAAAGTATATTTTGATTTGTTTAACACTTTTTTGCTTACTACATGATTCCATATGTGTTATTTCATAGTTTTGATGTCTTCACTATTATTCTACAATGTAAAAATAAAGAAAAACCCTTGAATGAGTAGGTGTTCTAAAACTTTTGACTGGTAGTGTAGTTGGCTTGGCTATGTCTCAAATGGCACCCTAGTCCCCATATAGTACATTGACCAGAGTGCTAAATAGTGCACTACATAGGGAATAGTGTGCCATTTGAGATTCACATGAAACACGTTGTCCTCCGATGTACCCTAATCCCCATATAAGCACACTAGTTTTATCCAGAGTTCTAAATAGTGCACTACAAAGGGAACAGGGTACCATTTAGTATTTTGTTCTGTCACGTACCCTATAACCCAGTAGGTCATGGTGGGGGCCGGCTTCCTCTGGTCGGTCCAGTTCTCAGGTTTACACTGGAACAGAACCCCGTGTTCCTTCATTGGGCCCAGCCCATGGGTCGCCTGGGGTCTGTCTGCACCCGGCCTGCCCTACTCACACAGAGAGGTCTAAGAGATTAAACATAAACACACACTACCTTTTTTATTACAACACAGACATTCTTACATACAGGGATATGGTGTGTTTGCAGTGGCGACCCCTCATTCAGGGCAGGTGGGGTTTTGAGCCCCACCTGTTTAGCAAAAATATATATTTATATACTGAACAAAAATACAAACGCAACATGTAAAGTGTTGGTGCCATGTTTCATGAGCTGAAATAAAAGATCCCAGAATTTTTCCATACGCACAAGAAGTGTATTTCTTGCATATTTTGTGCACACATTTGTTTACATCCCTGTTAGTGAACATTTCTCGTTTGCCAAGATAATCTATACACCTGACAAGTGTGGCATATAAAGAAGCTGATTAAACAGCATGATCATTACACAGGTGCACTTTGTGCTGGGGACAATAAAATGCCACTAAAATGTGCAATTTTGTCCCACAACACAATGCCAAAGATGTCTCAAGTTTTGAGGGAGTGTGCAATTGGCATGCTGACTGCAGGAATGTCCACCAGAGCTGTTGCCAGATAATTGAATGTTCATTTCTCTACCATAAAATTGAAATTGTTGCATGTTGCGCTTATATTTTTGTTCAGTATATATATATTTTGTATTCAAATTTTTTGCCTGTTTTGTATGTTATTTTGGCATTAATTCGTGTCACATATGAGTTTGCACACAATGTCAACATTTAAAAAAATCCTTGAGTTAATAAAGCCAAACAAACAAACATGGTCTCTTTCTTGAGTAAGGCAGCTCTAAAATGCAGGTGTTTCAGCCTAGCTCAGTGCTTTCTGTGGTGGATGGGCAGCCAGCAAAAATAAAGAACGTAGGCGTTGGTAATCTTCTCTAATTGCGGCGTGATTGGCTCAGTGTTCTGTCGCTCATGGGGACACTATGTCAACGCAGAATCTACGGGCTGCCATTCATATTAGAAGTGGCCATCAAAGAAGGCTCAAGGTCATTGGCCACAGATAAAATGACGTCAAATCATGTTATATCTACCATAGCTTTGATTGGACTGATCATGTCAACATCATACTTTCAAAATCTTAGCTAACAAGCTAGCAGTCATCATGATGAATCACGTAGACAATCTACTGGCAAATCCTTTTTAATCCTTGTCATATGAAGAGAATTTATAGATAAAACGTATCGGTGCTCATCGGCCATAATAATATAATAATATGCCATTTAGCAGATGCTTTTATCCAAAGCGACTTACAGTCATGTGTGCATACATTTTTACGTATGGATGGTCCCAGGGATCGAACCCATCACACAACAAGTCAGAAGTCACAAATTTAGCAATGAGTGGTTTGGAAGGAATCTATGGCTAATTGCAAGCGTCACAAAGCAATCTATCTGGCTTCCCCTGCCTGCTATTCAGTGGAGAGGGTGTGTGGTCCAAGTCTGGGTTAAAGGATTTAAAACATCTGTCTGAAAGGGTCTCTTTTCCAAGCTTAAAAGGATAAACATTCACACACAACACCATGGGCCAGAAAAGGTTGAATACATTGGCCATGCTGTCAATCTGGCATGACTTCTGCCGAGTTCAAAACTGGAAACTCAGAAATCTCAGACTTCAGTGCGTTCAAGACAACTGCGAACTCGGGAAAAGAAACTAGCTCTGACTGGGATTTATTCTTTTCAACAGGTCATCCAACTCGGAATTCCAAGTTGGGAACTCTGGCCTCTTTCTAGAGCTCCGACCTGAAGATCAATGACGTCATGATTCAACCTTGTTTTTTTCTGAGTTCCCAGTTGTCTTGAAAGCATCATAAATCCATAGAACGCCAGACTTTGTTGACAAAGTTTGCCCATAAGAAGGCCCGCCAAGCCACGTTCAAGTGAGCACAGCACAACATTGTGAGTCCAAAAATATGTCTTGTATACAGCTCCATAAATGATGTAATGTAGCTGTTAGTGTCTCTCCCTAAGAATTTGGTCCATCTCCCCCTCATAACTTAGCCTACTGTTCTGACTTAATGGTGTACATGTAGCCTATAGCCTGTTTTAGAAAAATGTCATCAAATATTGTAAGAGCTTTCATTGTCTGCTTATATGCCCCCTTTATTTATCCTACGGTTCTGAATTGGTGTACAGGGAGAATACTGTAAGAACGGCCCATGTTCTGAATTCTGTCGCTGTACATTTCAAAAGTGCTGAACAAATAGTTATATTAACTATGTCCATCTTAGCTCGCTCATTAATCCTTAAGAGTCTATTGACGCACCCATGCGTCAATCTAAGTGTCTTGTGGTCCTCTGTAGCTCAACTGGTAGAGCACGGCGCTTGTAACGCCAAAGTAGTGGGTTCGATCCCCGGGACCACCCATACACAAAAATGTATGCACGCATGACTGTAAGTCGCTTTGGATAAAAGCGTCTGCTAAATGGCATTTTATATTATTATTATTATAGAAAATCCACATGAAAATCTGTCAGTTTAAGCTAGAGATGTAAGGTTTTTTTGGGTGGGCTGCAACTCAATCCACCGCATCCGCCTATGTCGGCCTTCCGCATCTACGGAAGTATTATTACAAACTAATATGACCCTACTATGGAAAGGGGAGACTCTCACGAACACGATTTTGCTCTATGACCCCAAAATCTCTATCTCTCTCTCTCCCTCTCTCTCTCTAAGTGTTAATGATATAAGATTAAACATTATAAATGTAATAATATTTGTGTACGGTTCAAAGGTCAAAACTCATGTCAGCATTCGTTATCATTGAAGGAGAATGTGGTTCTTATTGAGTTACACAAATCCACAAGGAGTCCGTAGAAACCATATTTATTTAAGCAAGTCAGCCATATCAGCTATGTTTTTTAAAAAGGCAGTAAATGAGGCTGAATGAACTGTTTCACTGCCAGATGAGGCTCCGCTGATAGCCATGGTGCTGAAAGGAAAGCTCCGCTGTCGGGACAGCTTTATGTAGGCCCTAACAGTTTATGGGCACCGTTTGTCACCGTTATAGTGCAATTAATGTATTGTTTAGTGTTGCGTAGTGGCTTTGCTGGCATGCATCCCAATTTTTTTTTGAGTTTGCCCCACCAAGATTTCCATGCTAAAATCACCACTGTGTGTGTGTGTGTGTCTTCCGTTCTGTATCTTACCCTTGGCGGCAGACTCTGCTGGAAGGCAGCCCGTATGGAGAGACAGCAGTGGTGGAAGTTGCGAATGAGCTGAGGGTGGATGGAGCCGCTGAGCTGGGCCAGTTCCCTGTGTGTAGGAGCGATGAAGATACCCTGCACCGTCTCCATCAGCACATAGTGGAACAGAGTGTTCTCTGCCCCAGACGTCAACCTGGCCAACACAGAACAGAGAGAGTGGAATGGAATGAGATGGCATGGAATAGAAGAGAATGGGGTGGAATAGAATAGGATGGAATGAAAGAATAGGACCACAGCAGAGAGGAGAGTTAGAACATTATTACAACAGGGAAGGATAAACTAACTTCTAACACTGCTGGCCTGTTTCACTCACTTCATAGTGTTGTACATCTCCTCCTCTCTCTCTGTCAGACACTTCTTCAGGGTGCCCAGGTAGAACGGGTTAGGATGCTTCATCCTGGGAATCTAAGGGGAGGTGGGAAACAATAAAAGCTCCATTGGTATTCGACAAAACCCATAACCCATTTCTTTTATAGATATAAGGATGAGAGACGCAATCGGGGAAAGAAGGTTAAGACCCTACCTTGAAAATGCTCCCACTGCCTTGACTCCCATCAGATCCTCCAGAACCCAGCGAGTCTCTCTGCCCGACCAGCTTCCGGGCCGAGTCCGGGGTGGAGTGTGGACTGAGTCCAGTTGGCCTTCCTACACCCCCGTCCGGCTGTCCCTCGCTCCCACTGTCTGACTGACTCCTCTGGGGGCTAGGTCTCCGGGCGCCTCCTCCAAACAGGCTCCGGCCCACCACCTTTCCTCCTCCCTGGGCCGAGGAGGGTGGCTTCACGACCCCGGCCAGCTTGCTGAGGACAGGGGACGAGGCGGCCAGGGTGTCTAACCTGAGGACCACAATGGAAACTGAACTTTTTGTGTCATCCTCAATAAAAAAAGAAAAAATGTTTTTAAAATTGTCAAACTGAAACTAACTTGTCACGGGCGGAGGAGGGGAGGAACCAGTCAGCACAAGAGAGGCAAGGGGCAGGTGGGGCGGCCAGGCGTTCCTCCATCCCGACGTCCAGCTCCTCCAGCTGTAGGAGGGTAGCCTTGACCTGGTCCACGTACACACAGTCAGGCCCAGGGGCCTCCATGGCCGAGGCCGCACAGCCACCCTCCTCCAGGAGCACACACTGCATGAAGTGCCTCTGGGGGAGAGGGAGAGGTAGAAAGAGAGAAGGAGAGAGAGAGAATGTATGGGATAACAGATGTCTGTGAGTAGTTGGTATCCTGGAACACAAAACTAGAGTCAAATGTTGGATGTCTGTCTGAGAGACAGCTAGAGGGGAAAGAGAAAGAGGAGGAGAGAAGGAAAGAACGTTAGCGAAAAACAGCAAGAAATTACACAAAAACAAAAGGAGACACTCATTAGTGTAACTAAAGGAAAAGAGGGTCTTCATAGAGAATGCATGATTCTATATGTCCTTTTATATGTATGTATCTATGGTCTTACCAGTCCCACTATGAGTAGGAAGTAGCGTCCCTGGGGCAGGCAGTAGCCAGGCATGGTACAGTGGTTGTTCTTGGTCTGGTTCTGGTCCTTCTGGGTCTGGTAGTTCTGTGAGCGGTGGCGAGGGAACACCTCCCTCCAGATGACCAGCTGGCCCACGCGCTGCTCTGCAGCCAGGGGGAGGAGACAGTAGTGCTGGCAGTACAGACAGACATCCAGCAGGTCCTCCTTGGGGAGGTGGTTCGCAATCAGATAGCCCTGGGGTTGGACACAGGCACAGAGACATACACGTAGAGAGACAGAGAACACACACACACACAGATAACACAATGAATATAGAATATTTTCCTATTTTTACTAACACAACCCCATCGTATTAGAGTGCCAGACTCTCTCTATACAAAGGTCATGAGGATGGAGACTTGAACAAAGTGAACAACCTATTTCTACAAATCATTAATAATTCAGCATCAATTGTTAGGCGGATGATTTTCCATCCAGAGAATAAGGGGGTACAGCATGTTATCCTGGGTGATGATATCCCATCTACAGTGCATTCGGAAAGTATTCAGACCCCTTGACTTTTTCCACAATTTGTTACGTTACAGCCTTATTCTAAAATGGATTAAATAGTTTTTTCCTCCTCATCAATCTACACACAATACCCCATAATGACAGAGCAAAAACAGGTTTGTAGAAAATGTTGAACATTTATACTTGAAATTTACATAGGTATTCAGACCCTTTACTCAGTACTTTGTTGAAGCACCTTTGGCAGCGATTACAGCCTTGAGTCTTCTTGGGTATGACACTTCAAGCTTGGCACACCTGTATTTGGGGAGTTGCTCCCATTCTTCTCTGCAGATCCTCTCAAGTTCTGTCAGGTTGGATGGGGAGCGTCGCTGCACAGCTATTTTCAGGTCTCTCCGAAGATGTTAGATTGGGTTCAAGTCAGGCTCTGGCTGGGCCACTCAAGGACATTCAGAGACTTGTTCCGAAGCCACTCCTGTGTTGTCTTGGCTGTGTGCTTAGGGTCATTGTCCTGTTGGAAGGTGAACCTTCACCCCAGTCTGAGGTCCTGAGCGCTCTGGAGCAGGATTTCATCAAGGATCTCTCGGTACTTTGCTCCGTTCATCTTTCCCTCGATCCTGACTAGTCTCCTGGTCCATGCCGCTGAAAAACATCCCCATAGCATGATGCTGCCACCACGTTTCACTGTAGGGATGGTGCCAGGTTTCCTCCAGACGTGACACTTGGCATTCAGGCCAAAGAGTTCAATCTTGGTTTCATCAGACCAGAGAATCTTGTTTCTCATGGTCTGAGAGCCTTTAGGTGCCTTTTGGCAAACTACAAACGGGCTGTCATGTGCCTTTTACTGAGGAGTGGCTTCCGTCTGGCCACTCTACCATAAAGGCCTGATTGGTGGAGTGCTGCAGAGATGGTTGTCCTTCTGGAAGGTTCTCCCATCACCACAAAGGAATTCTGGAGCTCTGTCAGAGTGACTATCGGGTTCTTGGTCACCTCCCAGACCAAGGCCCTTCTCCCCCGATTGCTCAGTTTGGCCGGGCGGCCAGCTCTAGGAAGAGTCTTGGTGGTTCCAAACTTCTTCCATTTAAGAATGATGGAGGCCACTGTGTTCTTCGGGACCTTTTTTTGCTACCTTTCCCCAGATCTGTTCCTTGACACAATCCTGTCTCGGAGCTCAACAGACAATTCCTTCGACATCATGGCTTGGTTTTTGATCTGACATGCACTGTCAACTGTGGGACCTTATATAGACAGGTGTGTGCCTTTCCAAATCATGTCCAATCAATTGAATTTACCACAGGTGGACTCCAATCAATTTGAAGAAACATTTCAAGGATGATCAATGGAAACAGGATGCACTTGAGCTCAATTTCGAGTCTCATAGCAAAGGGTCTGAATACGTATGTAGATAAGGTATTTCAGTTTTTAATTTTTTATAAATGTGCAAAAATTTATAAAAACCTGTTTTTGCTTTGTCATTATGGGGTGTTGTGTGTAGATTGATAAAAAAATATATATATATATCAATTTTAGAATAAGGCTGTAACGTAACAAAATGTGGAAAAAGTCAAGGACTCTGAATACTTTCCAAATACACTGTATATAATCATATTTAACTGGCTCTTTCTTCCTATCCATCCAAGGGTGTCTGTCTGTCCCTTCTGTGAGGTTTCGAGTTTCACTTTGGGCCCAGGTGTGTGTGTGGAAAGGAGAGCGGCCCAGCAGATAGTAGTCAGGTGAGTGTGTGTGTGTGTGTGTGTGTGTGTGTGTGTGTGACACGACACTCAACCTTGTAGAACAGACAGGAGCCCAGTGCCACGTAGATACGCCTCATGCCATAGAAGTCCTCTGACTGCCAGATAGAGAGAGAGAGAGAGAGAAAGAGAGGAGAGAGGGAGAGAGAGGAGGGAGAGGAGAGAGATTGAGAGAGAGAGAGAGGAAAGAGAGAGAAAGAGAGAAGAGAGAGGTAGTGAGAGGGAGAAGAGAGAGAAACTTCATTATCAGTTTTAGGTCAGACATGAATGATTGTGTAGTGAATCTTATTCCTGCCACTCTATCCTTCTATCCCCCTCCTCCTTCTCCCCCACGCTCTCTCCGCCACCCTCCCTCCCTCTCTCTCAGCCCTGCTTAATTGAATCAGCTAGAGGATACAGGTATAAAGAAGATCTAATCCTCCATTACATGAAATATACAGGCCAGTCCAGAAATACTCACCTTCTCCTCTCACTACTAGACCCTACACAGGGGAGGAGACAGCTTGTGGCTTAGTTTAATGGGAAAGGGAATCAGTATGACACCTTGTCTGCTTCCAAAATGGCACCCTATTCCCTACACAGTGCACTGCTTTGACTAAAGCCCTATGTAATTATTTGACTTACCATTTCTCCAAAATCTGATGATTCAAAGTCTGAGAGAATGGTATCCACCTCCATCTGTGGATAGATAATCAGAGACCATAGAAGTAGAATTCAGACACAATATTCTAATTCTATATCAGAGACAGACTTATTTCTGCATTCACAAAGGCTGTAGTCAGACATGCTCTGAAGCTAGACATGGAAAATTGCCTGAATTGCTGGCAAGGAGCACGTCGTTTTTACCGCCAGACAGCAGAGGGCAGCAAAGACAATACATAAATCCAACAAGGTGGAAAAACAGCCCATTAAATATATTATTGCAAGAGCAAATTCCTAAACGTATCACTGACTTGACAGCCTAAAACATCCTACGACCTAAAACATTTCAGAAGACTTAACAAGCGAGGCACAAACATCAAATGGTGAAGACGTCAATAAAGAAGAGCTCTTAAAAGTTTCATCACAACTATGGCCCAAAGTGGTGGCCCATCCAGACCTTTATCTCAGGGGGCAGAGTGAGCCACTGGACCGCTGGCAGTCCGTCCAGGAAGAGAGTCCCCGATACGTCAGGGGGCGTGGCCCCGAAGCTGTCACTCAACCTGGAAGGCTGGATGAGCTTCTGGAAGAACAGGCAGAAGAAATGGTCCAGTCTGGGGGCGTGGTCCGCCTCGCAGAACGCACTGTGGAGGAGAGGAAGGAGCGATGGCGATAGAGGGAGGGATGGAGACAGGAGGAGGAGAAAGGGAAGGATGGAGGAAGGGACGGTGTGGTAGAGGGAGAGATGAGATGAAGGGGTGGAGGAGAGAGAGGGAGGGAGGAAGGAGGGAGGGAGGGATGGAGGGAGGCGGAGACAGAAGGAGGGAGAGAAAGAAGTGGTTGGTTAAAAGAAGGCAACAACCTGTTTAGGTTTGATGTAATGTAACAGTATAAATTATCTTGCTTCAAATGGGAAGCCAGAAAGACTTGGACCGCTTGAACCAGGAAATCAAACCTGCGTTCGAAATGGCACCCTATTCCCTATTAGTGCACTACTGTTGGTCAAATTCAGGATGCTTCCCTGAGCTGTCAGCACAACAGACCTGTCCAGACAGCCGTACATCACGTTGAGAGTCCTCACTACACCTCCTACTACCGTCTGCAGATACAACAGAGGAACCCTGGAGAAGAATAAGAGAGATGAAACAGTCACATCCACGAGGAGGCCAAAAAACACTCAGAACTTCAGCTACTGACCGACCATTTTATTAATCAAATATTCTGGAAGGGATATAACATTTAGCTAACATATGGGATTGGCTGAGACAGTGTATTGAATATGGAAGCATGCATCCGATGCTGTGAAGGACTTTGGATGACTTTGATGTGTTGGTACCTTTCAGCAGGCAGGCCGATCACTAGCAGGTTGTTGCTCTCCTTCCAGTAGCCCACATGGACCAGCTGTTTACTGAGCAGAAGAGAGGAGCTGAGGAGAGGGGGAGGGGAGGAGGGGAAAAAGAAGGTAGAGGGGTAGAATGCAGACAAAAAAAGAGGGAGTGGGAGGAGGAACAGGTGCAGGGGGAAAGACAGAGGAGAAATACAATCATGGTATGAACTAATGGAATTTCTATATTTAGGACTTCGGTAGATCTCAGAGCCGCTTGAAGTGGGTCTAATTGGTGATAGGTGGAAATCAGTCAAGAGTGGGTGGGGAATTTTCTACATTACCTGACTATCTGTCCCCCAGTGACATTCTCCAGCATGTCAGACAGAGTAAGGAAGATCCCTCTGACTCCCTTCAGCTGGCTGGATGCCTCAGACACTGGGTACTGGTACAGGATCTCCTGCTGAGGGGACATGGAGGTACACACACACACACACACGCACACACACACACACGCACACAAAACACACACACAGTCCGTTAGAGAAGAAAGCACAGGGCAGGATCTAGGTATAGTCTTTGTCATTAGTATTCTCCACACCATGCTGTCTGCTATGAAGGGTGTGGAGCGGACCACTTCAGAGAGAGCTGGGGGGTGGGGAGGGGGATGAATAAGGAGTAGGGCCACATAGCCATGGAAACAAGGACAAAAGCTCGGATAATTCTTACAATGCCAGACATTCACCTCTGGGTCACCAGCAAACTAGCCTTGTCGAGAACCAGGAAACAGGAAGCCTGGGGAAGTCCATGGCACAAAATCAGCTAAAAAAGGGGTAGGAACCCGGTGTAAATCAGTGACGCCTCGCTACATGTCAAACCAATCAAATGCCTTGCTTGGGTGGAGGTGCTCACTAGATTAGTGGTTTCATTCTGAAGATCGCGTAGCTCAGTTGGTAGAGCATGGCGCTTGCAACGCCAGGGTTGTGGGTTTGTTTCCCACGGGGGGCCAGTATGAAAATGTATGAACTCACTAACTGTAAGTCGCTCTGGATAAGAGCGTCTGCTAAATGACTCAAATGTAAATGTAAATTAGTGTCGTAGGTGCAACAGTGGTGTGGATGGCTGGGAAATCGCGGATTAAAACCCCATCAAAATATGTTGATATATGCCATGTTTGTGGTGAGCCGTACGACCGGAACAGGAACAAACATAACCTTTTATAAGGTAAATTGTCTTTATTGCAACCGGACTACACACTGGCTTTAGAAGAGATTATGGGACCTGTCAGACAGTGTATTTCCTATGTGTAATTTTTTGTGTAACCAATGTGGTCACAATTCAAGGTGATCTATGAGACATGTTATACCACAAGCAAAAGCAGCACGAAGCAAGGCTCGCTTGAAGCGGCATACTTTTACGCTTCGAGTCTACTTTATTCAGCAGCGAGAGCGTTGCAGAGACGTACACTACCGGTCAAAAGTTTTAGAACACCTACTCATTCAAGGGTTTTTCTTTATTTTCACTATTTTCTACATTGTAGAATAATAGTGAAGACATCAAAACTATGAAATAACACATATGGAATCATGTAGTACCCAAAAAAGTGTTAAACAAATCAAAATATATTTTATATTTGAGATTCTTCAAATAGCCACCCTTTGCCTTGATGACAGCTTTGCACACTCTTGGCATTCTCTCAACCAGCTTCACCTGGAATGCTTTTCCAACAGTCTTGAAGGAGTTCCCACATATGCTGAGCACTTGTTGGCTGCTTTTCCTTCACTCTGCCGTCCGACTCATCCCAAACCATCTCAATTTGGTTGAGGTCGGGGGATTGTGGAGGCCAGATCATCTGATGCAGCACTCCATCACTCTCCTTCTTGGTAAAATAGCCCTTACACAGCCTGGAGGTGTGTTGGGTCATTGTCCTGTTGAAAAACAAATGATATTTCCACTAAGCCCAAACCAGATGTGATGGCGTATCGCTGCAGAATGCTGTGCCTTGAATTCCAAATACATCACAGACAGTGTCACCAGCAAAGCACCCCCACACCATAACACCTCCTCCTCCATGCTTTACGGTGGGAAATACACATGCGGAGATCATCCGTCTCACAAAGACACGGCGGTTGGAACCAAAAATCTCAAATTTGGACTCCAGACCAAGGGACACATTTCCACTGGTCTAATGTCCATTGCTCGTGTTTCTTGGCCCAAGCAAGTCTCTTCTTCTTATTGGTGTCCTTTAGTAGTGGTTTATTTGCATGAAGGCCATGAAGGCCTGATTCACACAGTCTAGCGCTTGATGGTTTTTGCGACTGCACTTGAAGAAACTTCAAAGTTCTTGAAATGTTCCGTATTGACTGACCTTCATGTCTTAAAGTAATGATGGACTGTCGTTTCTCTTTGCTTATTTGAGCTGTTTTTGCCATAATAAGACTTGGTATTTTACCAAATAGGGCTATCTTCTGTATACCCCCCCTTATTGTATACCCCCCCCCACCTTGCCACAACACAACTGGAAATAAGGAAATAATTAATTTTTAAGGCACACCTGTTAATTGAAATGCATTCCAGGTGACTACCTCATGAAGCTGGTTGAGAGAATGCCAATAGTGTGCAAAGCTGTCATCAAGGCAAAGGGTGGCTATTTGAAGGATCTCAAATATAAAATATATTTTCATTTGTTTAACACTTTTTTGGTTACTACATGATCCCATATGTGTTATTTCATAGTTTTGATGTCTTCACTATTATTCTACAATGTAGAAAATGGTAACAATTAAGAAAAACCCTTGAATGAGTAGGTGTTCTAAAACTTTTGACCGGTAGTGTAGACAAGCACATAATATCAAAATATAAATTCACAAATAATCTCAATAATTCTAAAACTAAGTAGGAAAATAGCAAAAATCACCCTGCCTGCACACAATTAAAGGTTCGGTATCACATTTTAGGCTTGAAAAAGACATATTTACATTTACATTTTAGTCATTTAGCAGACGCTCTTATCCAGAGCGACTTACAGTTAGTGAGTGCATACATTATTTTATTTTAAATACTGGTCCCCCGTGGGAATTGAACCCACAACCCTGGCGTTGCAAACGCCATGCTCTACCAACTGAGCTACATCCCTGCCGGCCATTCCCTCCCCTCCCCTACCCTGGACGACGCTGGGCCAATTGTGCGCCGCCCCATGGGTCTCCCAGTCTCGGCCGGCTACGACAAAGCCTGAATTCAAAACCAGGATCTCTAGTGGCACAGCTAGCACTGCGATGCAGTGCCTTAGACCACTGCGCCACTCGGGAGGCTCACAAAGACAAATCTAAGTTGACGCAATTGTTGATACAATTACTTCAAATCATTTTAATTACAGCAAATTTGTTGCTGAGGTTGTAAGAATATCCTCTCACTATGAAGTGTGGCTGAAAAATAAGCCTGAACTGTCTCTGGGAAATGATGCTGCGTTTACTGTTATTATTTATCCCATTACTAATGTAATGGTTAACTTATGTTGCAAGGTTAACCTAGGTTGGTTAACCTGCTGGAGCTAGTAACATAAGCATTTCGCTGCACCTGCTATAACATCTGCAAATCTTTGTACGAAACCAATAGACTTTGATTTGATTTATGTATCGTCAAAGGATACATTACTAAGAGGAACAGACTTTGTTTCTACCTCTGTTTCTCCACTGTGTGTGTGTGTGTGTGTGTGTTTTGGATGCTGTTGGAACTGGAAGCCTACCAGAGCAGTAGTTGTGTTCTCTAAAGCTTCTGCTTCATGTCAGAAATAGGGGTGGGCATTTGACATTTTCTGACTGTTCGAATACTCACGTGATTTTTATTTTTGTACTCGAGCACTCAATGAAAAAAGAATAACAAATTTAACAGATGGCCCACACTGGAAAACAATATGTGTGCATTTATCCATCTATATGTCAACCGTGCGCAACAATGCCTAATTTATCATAACTATTACAGATATCAAATCCTAATTGCGAAATTGTCCCATATACAGTACATTCAGTCAATAAAAAAGCAAGTGCCATTTAAGATTCATTTATTGAAACCATAATATCAACTGGTTATATTATATCATGGAACACAATCTTTAAAAAGGCAGTAACCTCAGCAGTGTTGCTTGCTTGTAGAAGCATATGGCTGTGCAATGGCATAGCCTTGTTTTGTTAATTTAGCAGACAAGACGCTCTTATTTCCCGAGCCCTTATCATAGTCAAGACACACCTATTTTATAGTTTAAAAAAAACATGATGTAATATAACAGAATAAAATGTAACAGAATATTTTTCCGAATGAAAAAAAAAGTTGGCAGTGCCAAATGATGCGCATCTCGCTTCTCGAACAGTTTATTTTTTATTTATTTTATTTATTTCACCTTTATTTAACCAGGTAAACCAGTTGAGAACAAGTTCTCATTTACAACTGCGACCTGGCCAAGATAAAGCAAAGCAGTGCGATAAAAACAACAACACAGAGTTACATATGGGGTAAAACAAAACAAAGTCAAAAATACAACAGAAATACATATAATATACAGTGTGTGCAAATTTAGCAAGTTATGGAGGTAAGGCAATAAAATAGGCTATAGTGCAAAATAATTACAATTAGTATTAACACTGGAATGATAGATGTGCAAGCGATGATGTGCAAATAGAGATACTGGGGTACAAATGAGCAAAATAAATAACAATATAGGGATGAGGTAGTTGGGCGGGCTAATTTCAGATTGGCTGTGTACAGGTGCAGTGATCGGTAAGGTGCTCTGACAACTGATGCTTAAAGTTAGTGAGTGAGATAAGTGTCTCCAGCTTCAGAGATTTTTGCAATTTGTTCCAGTCATTGGCAGCAGAGAACTGGAAGGAATTGCGGCCAAAGGAGGTGTTGGCTTTGGGGATGACCAGTGAGATATACCCGCTGGAGCGCAGACTACGGGTGGGTGTTGCTATGGTGACCAATGAGCTAAGATAAGGCGGGGATTTGCCTAGCAGTGATTTATAGATGGCCTGGAGCCAGTGGGTTTGGCGACGAATATGTAGTGAGGACCAGCCAACAAGAGCGTACAGGTCACAGTGGTGGGTATTATATGGGGCTTTGGAGACAAAACGGATGGCACTGTGATAGACTACATCCAATTTGCTGAGTAGAGTGTTGGAGGCTATTTTGTAAATGACATCGCCGAAGTCAAGGATCGGTAGGATAGTCCGTTTTACGAGGGCATGTTTGGCAGCATGAGTGAAGGAGGCTTTGTTGCGAAATAGGAAACCGATTCTAGATTTAACTTTGGATTGGAGATTCTTAATGTGAGTCTGGAAGGAGAGTTTACAGTCTAACCAGACACCTAGATATTTGTAGTTGTCCACATACTCTAGGTCAGACCCGTCGAGAGTAGTGATTCTAGTCGGGTGGGCGGGTGCAAGCAGCGTTCGGTTGAAGAGCATGCATTTAGTTTTACTAGTGTTTAAGAGCAGTTGGAGGCTACTGAAGGAGTGTTGTATGGAATTGAAGCTCGTTTGGAGGTTTGTTAACACAGTGTCCAATGAAGGGCCAGATGTATACAAAATGGTGTCGTCTGCGTAGAGGTGGATCTGAGAGTCACCAGCAGCAAGAGCGACGTCATTGATATACAC